GAGTTCTTGCTGATGATCATGCCAAGATACTCAATTGAGGATTGTTCAAAGAAGCATTTTTCCGGTTTGGCATATAAGTCATTGTCCCGGAGGCGCTGTAGAACTGCTTTTACTAGTTGTCGGTGTTCTTTGAGATCGTCCGTAAATATGAGGATGTCGTCTAAGTAGACTACCACCTTTCCAGTGCGAATTAAGTCTTCGAGGACTGTATTCATCATTGTTTGGAAGGTGCTGGGGGCGTTGCAGAAACTGAAGTACATTACGGTGGGTTCGAAGAGGCCACGATGTGTGATGAAGGTGGCTTTTTCTTCGTCTCCTTCCCTAATCCTTATGTTGTTGAACCCCCATCTCAGATCAAGCTTCGTAAATATGCTAGCATGTGAGAGTCTGTCGATGAGGTCAGAAATGCGTGGAATTGGGAACTTGTTCTTCTTTGTGACTGCATTGAGGTTCCTGTAGTCTTGTACGAGCCTTAGGGATCTGTCTTTCTTTTTGATGAAGAAGACGGGTGCTGCGGTTGGACTCCTTGATCTCTTGATGTAACCTTTGGCCAACTCTTGGTCTATCCACGTATCGAGCAAATTTCTTTCCTGTAAGTTCATAGGATATAACTTTGCTGGGCATGGTAACGATGCCTCTGGAACAAGTTCGATTGGATGATCGTAGGGCTTTCTTGTGAGCATTCGTTCCGACTGCTTCTTGGAGAACACATCGCCATACTCGTGGAAGTGTTTGGGGACATAGGCTGACCAGTAGTCTTTGTCCTGTTCTCCTTTTTGCGGTGCTCTATCCTGATTCCTTTTGGTGTCAAGACCCATAATGAGCGATGCTACAGCTTGTGCATCAGGGTCTTCTGATAATGACACCCATCTAATGAAGCTGTCCATGTCGTTCCAGTTATCCTAACTCCTGGGAACTGATGAACTCCATCAGGTCTTCGATGTGGGGGATGTTTGTGTCTTCCAGGTCCTCCTCCTGGATTGCTACCTGTGAGGGTGTGCATCTGTGTGGGCACCGGGTGAAATCGACTGTGAGTTTTCCCCAATCCACTTTGGGATTATGCTCCTTGAGGAAACTCATGCCTAGTATAATGTCTTTGTGACCTATATCGGTGACCAGAAGACTTTGTCTGCTTGTGTGGTTTCTGATAGTTATACTTAGAAGAACCCTTTTCTTAATGGTTCCACCCTTGTTGTGAGATGCATCTGCGTTATAAACCCTGATCTCTTTCTCAAGTGAGATCGTAGCGAGATTCAACTGATCAACCAGCCGTGGGTTGATGTAGCAAGAATATGCTCCTGAATCAAGGAGTGCCTCAGTCTGGACTTCCCTTACTCCCTGTTTGAGGTGAACAGGTAAATCGATCGCATGTTTTGACGAACCAGTAGATGCAATGTATAAAAAATCTGATACTGGTACATGCGAGATCGAGTAGGTACTGTTACATTGTCTATGGAAACTCTGGCCAGACCTCAGAGAACCTGCCAAAGAAAATCCTCATCATCTTCTATCTCTGTGATCCTAGCCGCTTCGACGGCTGGTGCCGGTTCTGCCTCTTTTTCCTTCACGTCATAGCTGGCAAGGAAGGCATGGACTGCTTCCTCCCTTGCCATGCTTTTGTTGGAACTGGTGGATGATGCTGTTGTTGATATTGCCCTGGTTGCCTGACCCCACTTTGGCATTTCAAATTTGCCCTTGTACTTGGGGTCTGGGCATCGCTGTACAAAGACGAAGGGGTGTTTTCCACATCGTACACACAGCTTCTTTTCCAGCCATCCTTCTTGCTCCTTAGTGAGTGTGGATACTCGATCCACGACCATTGCGTTGGGGTCCTTTGGGGCTCGTGGTGATGATGATGTTGACATTGTTACCGTTCTGTGCTGTCCTGCCTTGTCGGCTCTGAACTTGGACTCAAGTTGTAGGCAAAGGTCGAGGTACTCCGGCCATGTGATTGGGTCTGCGATGCCTAGGCTATCTCGTGTGACCATTGCCTGTCGTACATCCTTGCTTCGATGTTCAGCGATGTAACTGATGAGTGCGGTGTGCCCTAAGTTGGTCTTAGTGGCCCATTGACGGAACTGTTCTGCGAAGGATACCATGGTGGGATACGTCTTGCTACAGATCTCCTTCAAATGCTGCTGTGCATCCTTGTCCGGGTCGAGGGTCCTGTAGTTTACTTTGAGAATGTCGACAAAGTCTTCCCATGTGCCAAGTGCCTGCCATGCTGCTGCCCTGGTTGTGTATTCAGACATGTAGGTGAATGCTCTGCCTTCCAAGTGCAGTAGTGCCGTGGTAATCTTGTGCTCGTCGTCGTTGATCTCGTTCCACTGCATCCATATACCAAGTTGTTGGAGCCAGTCCTCCAGACTTCCTTTGCCTGAGTAGTGTGGAGGTTCAGCTATTTTGATGCATGGCTTGTTCGAGTGGACCATACCGGATGTTTGACCTTGCATCATAGTGACGCCGCTTGCTTTGAGCAAAGCTAGCTCATGTCGCAGCTTGGTGTTAGCTGACTTGATCTCCATCATTTCCTTGCCTATATCCAGCATTGCTGCCTGGGTCCCTGAGAGTTCGTCATTTAAAACTGTCATATGCGCATCTTGCGCGAGGATCCTATCCTTGAGTTTTCCGATTTCTGTCTGGAGGACGGCCTCCTTGAGTCGGTGCTCGCTCTTGTTATTTTTGATGGTTGACTCGAAGGCCCTCTTATGCTCGTACATTTTGTTGCCGAGCACGTTGTAGACCTTGGTGACCTCAGTGCCGATTGTGAGCTTCATTGCGACAATTACCCATTCACGGATATGATACGGGACTTCGCTGGGGGCGGACTGTCTGAGTGCATCTTCTAGATGCTCATATTGATTCCCTTCAAACTCCCAGGTGGGAGAAACATAAGCGGGGAGGAGTGATGGTGTCAGGGATGCAGGTCCTCCGACTTGTGATGCAGAATCCTGGGGTCCTAGCCCAGGTTCAGGTGAGTTGCGCTGTGAGGCACGTGAGGTGCTTCTGTCGTGTGCTGGCTTGACATTTGTGTGAAGAATGTCATCCATTCACTGCCTGAACATGGATGTGTATGCACGATCAGCTTCTTCCATAGTGATGTAAAGATGTGTAAACTAATAGAAAATAAAGCCTAGGTACTGCTTGTCCTTGACCTTCCCAATCTCCCTGACAATCTCGTCTAACCTCTGCTGCTTCCCTATCTCCTTGAAGTTGATCCTGCCTATCTCTAGGCAACACGTGTTGATGACCTGTTTGTCGATGAAGGTGTATTCATGAGTTCCCGTGTAGAGGTCTGCGCAAACTTTGGCTAACTCCGATGCAAGGAGTTGTACCTTCTTTCGTTTATCCTGATCAATTCTCTCCCAGAACGCTCCCAATATCAGTTGCAGTCTGAAGCGGGTGGCTGAGACCTGCTTCTTGAGTGTTTCGATGTGGATGGTGGGCCTGATTTTGGATGGAAGAGGGCGAATGGATTGTGCGTGTGTGTTGACTTTAACAAAGTTGGGAAGAGGTTGCACTGGCTGTGGAGCAACAATGATGGAGGGAACGGTGTTGGAGGTGATGATCTCTGGGGGTGGTCTTGGCTTTCGACTGCCTGTAGTGAGATGTCCTTTCCTGGGCTTGTAGCATTTGAGTGGGGGGGTGTGACTGCGAGGCTGGCGGATGATGCCTTGGACTCTGATATGTGTAGTGTCAACTACCCTGGCTGCTGCATGCTGCCTGTCTGTAGAGGATGCACCTAAGGATGCTAGAGTGAGAAGTCTTCCTCGCTCCTTGTTGGTCTCGAGGCATTTGTAGCCAGCGTAAGGATCTTCTGCCTTGGTGGCCTTGTGCTTTGCTGCCTTGGGCTGCTCAGTGTCTTGCTGAGGCTTACGCCTGGTAGAAGTCAGGTTGGAATGTATGTCAAAAAAGCCGCGCGCTATGGCTGAAACTGCTTGCGCTGAAAATACGCAGCCGCTTGTGTTAAACACTAAGCAGGGGCACAGAAAATGTCAGATTGTTTCTAATGTCACAGCAACACCGGACAAGAGATCAAAAAGACTAAAAAGGGACAGTCATGTGGAACGTGCCGCCCTGATCCCCCTGGTCCCAAGGAATCCCCCTGAACCCTATGTGGCGCAAGAGCCTGAGACTTACTAGTCGAGGTGGCTGACGCAGAAAAGGGTAAGAGATATATGATGGAGCTGGTAAGCTCAGTAGGGTGCTACGGTAGTAGACGAGGAGAAACAATCTGAAGTTTCGTCCTCTACATGGCTGGTCTTATCTACACATATAGCGGGCTATCTTATCTAAGCTACCTATCTACGGGTATAAGCTAATGGCCATACATGAAACAATAGGATGTCCGGAAGCAGAACAATAAGTGGGAAGATCGATGGTTGCCGCAGTAATGCGTGTGCACATCATGCCTATCTTGGTTTCCCTTTTGTTCTCCGGTGTGAACATCGTACCTATCTAGGCTTCTGGCTAAACTAATAGGAAGCAGAAGGCCGATGCATAACAATAGTCCTTGTTCCCTTTGTTCCCAAATGGGTGCCTCTATTGTATCCTGGAATAGACAGGTCCGACCATATCATCCACGGATCTGGACCATAACATGTGATGTGGACCATCACCTGATCTCTACGTGTCACGTCTGTGGCTGAGTGGTGTGAGATATTGGTGAAGCATGTGATCTGTGGTGTGAGAAAAGTCACGTGCAGACTTTGTGGTGAAAATCTGTGACATGGAGGTGGTAGAGCGGGGAAATTCTCTTTATCCCAAGGATAGATTTCCTCATAAAGTTCCCACTCAAGTAGGAGGAGGTGATGGTCCAGTAGAGAAAAAGGAGGACTGCTACTTATACCTTCGAGCAGTCGTTCCTCTTCTTTGTATCAGTCCGTGATTTAAATATTCACCATCCCCGTGCGTTCTTCCGCTGATATTGTCATTGTCCTTGATATGGTACTGTGTATGACACTGAATGCATCCAGAGCGAATGAGAGTGCTGCCGGTAAGATATCAAAGTGTAGCGGATGATCTAGAGCATACGACGGTGGGAGGATTCCCACTGGAAGGCCGGCGTAAATGGCTGTTAGGATAGTCCAGCATCGATCTGACCCTAGCCGGGGCAGGTGGAGTTCCTCCATTAGGAACATTGGGTAATTCATTCGCATGAACGTTCCCCATGTTCCGTCTAGGTCGATATCGATGTCGTCCTCTAGTGTGACCTTTGGTCTGTCCGTTTGGAATGGAAACAGATACAGAATTCTGATTAACCCGCTGGGGCAAGGGGTTAGATATGGCTGTCGTCGAGTTGATCTGAAGTCGTCCAGGAGGTGGACTTCGTGGACGTCATTCACTCTCTCGATGAGATGGTTTATCATGGTTTGGATGGGTCATGTTGAATTCGACGTTGGTATGGTCGAAGTCGACAAGATCCTCGATGGCAAATCCAGCTCCTCTGATGGCAAGATAGACTCTGAGCTGTTGGAAGACCTGGTAGCGATGATCGTGAGAGGAATATGCACGTGAGGTCCAGGTGTGAGTGGCTGCCAGAACGAGAATCATACCCAAATAAGGAAGGTTTAGAAGGTCCATTCGAGCTGAGAATGGCGGAGCTGCATCGGAGAACATCCATTTTCAGTGGTGCCGGATCGGACTGTCAAAATGAAGATGTTCTCACACGGTGGCTGATGATTCTTGATAATTGCATTGGTGTTGCAACCGGAAGTCATCCTCGAATTCATCAACTTCACATTAAGGCTCCAACTATTTATACTATTTACACTGCTGAGGTGTAAATAAATAGTATATAGTAAACAGTTATCTATATGTCATATAAACAGTTTATATAAAGTTTATATAGTTTTTTTTGGTCCCATCTTTTGATGGAGTTTTACTCAACTGTGAGCAGCCTCTGTGATTGTTGAGGCCTTTAAGGACCTGTAGCACATGACAGTGAGCAGAAAACAAGCATTCAATGTCAACACTTGCACCAGGAATGACCAGAAAATCTTATGTTATACAAGAAATGACAAGAAACTCATGTTCATGAACCTACATGATGATAAACTGTCAGTGGTGACTTCTGTTAAACACTATGACTTTCAATTGGCTCACTGTTGTGCTGTCAAATCTAGCAATTGCGCACACAATAGCCCTATATCATCATAAAACTATTTATACTATATATATACATCTATTTACTATGTACAGGCCCAACTGTAAATAAACAGATATAGTAAACAGTTAAAACTATGTAACATAGTAAATAGATAGAAATGTTGGAGCCTTACTTCACATCCTGTTCACTCACAAATATTTCTCAGTGTTCTCAAGACCCCAGTATTTCTAAGAATAAAATCTCCGAGGGGGTCTGCTCACTGACAGCAGAATAGGACGCGACACTCTGAAAAAATTGCATTAGTGGGCCAGTGATAGTACCACCACCGAAAATGAGCAGTCGTTGATCCAATGGATATCTCCGAGATCCACGGTCACGCCATTAGTAGCTAACACCTGTGCACTACATCAGCAAGGGGTGGTCACGACAAGTACTGGTACTATAAAACGGTGACCCAAGCGCTCAAGCCCAGTCAAAATCGGGTCTGCGCGGAGCGGGGGTGAGTGAGCGAGAACGTCACATGTGGAGCACTAAGCACTTTGACACGCCCCGCTATCCCTTACCTGGAGCGAAAAATTTAGACCATTTAGCGGGGCAAAGACAAGCCCATCGGGGCTACTGGAAGCAAACTGAGTGCGACGTGTGGCCCCGTTTGGCCACTCTCTCCGTCGACCATGATATATCTTTGATGTTGCGCCATTAAGTGAATAAATATATATATCTTCGACTACTTGTACAAGCTTGTGCAGCGGATTGCATGACAAGCCATTTTGTAGGTGCATATATCTACCCTCCCATCTATGCCCTCAGACATTCTTCTCGTGAGCCATCCTCCAGCAGAGCCAGTCGCATGATAAGGCATTCAAAAGAAGCATCTGTCATTTTCGTCATGAGCAACAGAGCACAGATGCAGCTGAAAGGTAGCTCACCTGTTCTCCAGGGACCCACTCCACACTGTCATCTAATAGGACACATTGGAGTTCTGTGAGTACTGTTGGCATCTGGCACTCGTGAATAGATGACAGCATGCCCACTTACTTGTGCATGGCAAAAGGTGGGGAGACAGTGACTTGGAGGGAGAGAACAATAGTGGGAGGAAGGATCCAGGGTGATCGTGGCGGTAGGAGAGAAAGATGGGAAGTGCATGAAGATGTCCCCGACACTCCTATATATGTATGCTGTATGGCGAGCGTATGGAAGTCCGAGATATTCGTATTGTGATATGTATACGACGAGACGCGACGACATCGACACGTTGACACGGATGCGCCTCAACGCTGCCGCTCTTATATGTACAAGTGTCATTGACGCGTCGGCATCGCACCAATGCGTGCGCATGACGTGCCAAGACAATCGGCGACGCTCACGCGGACGTCCCCCGTTCCACCACACCCTACGGGCCCCTGGACTCTCACGATCCGCTGCACCACGCTATCCCCCGCTCCGCGCAGACCTGATTTTGACTGGGGCTCAAGTTACAGCCTGCGATGCTTGTTCGAAGTACACAAACACATTGATCCAACATGAACTTTTAGTGCGAATTTCATCCGAGCGGTACAGCTTGAAGGCGCTGTTTGCGAAGAGGTACTATATATAGTGCCACGCGGTCCATTGACGTGAGAGTCCGCGCTAGGCGCAACTGACGATTGGAAGGTGCTCTCATCCACTGAGGGAATTCAATGCCTCGTACTAGAGGGAAATGAAAACAGCAGCAGAGTCGTCCAGATAGAAACGCGACAAAAGTATGCAGTCATTTGTGTCATCGATGGAGCCTACAGAGCCTGAGATCCTACGCGAATGTACTATGCATTAAACCAAAACAACATGATTCGCGTACTGAATGTGAGAACGCTCTCGTGTATCCGGGATCTCACACTGCGATCCGCAAGCACGGCCTCGTCGCGTACATTGTCTCGTCTGTTTGGACATCTTCCACTGAATCAGGCTTTCCCGCCTGCTTCTCTGTCTCGGCATCTCCATGCTGTCCATCCTCGATACTTTGTTCTCCTTCTTTTCCGCCGTCCTCGTCCAGTGGAGGAGTCTCTTGCCTCAGAAACTCGCGCGGCAGTAGTATAGACCGGTCTAGCGCGACAGGCAAACTACGATGTCTGCCACGGATCATAACCGCGCACAGGATAAGCTTAGACGGTGTATGGAGGGCTCCTGAGAAGCAGTAATTCTCCTGGGTGTGTCACGTCGTTAGTTTTGTGTTTGTGGTTAAGTGTGGGGTATGAAAGACTAACGTTGGGAATGCCGAGAGAAAGACCAACTGTTCCGAAGGCAGAGACTAGCTCAAAAACTGCAGTACATAATAGATGAATAAGCATTATGAAACCAGGACTGACAACACTCACTCAATGCAAAGATATTGAACCACGATGAGTCGCTCGTATTCATCAACGGTTCTCGCTTCAGTTACACAGGCAACGCATCAGAAACCTGATTGTAACACAGTACGAAAGACGTATCATCCTACCTCGATTATGCAGAGTACAAACAACGACAACGCCAGCCACCACATATCTGTCATGCGCTTGAGCGAAATAGCTCAAGTCTGGTGTGTACGAAACGAACTCACCAATTGACAGTTGCCTGCGAGCATGGCGGGCTAGATACTTTCCCCAGATGGCCACGCGGGACTCCACGCCCATAAGCGGGCGATCCAGATAATCAGATTCCTGTTCCTCGTCTTTCGATCGGTAGATACCCAGGGATCGTTCCTCATAGACGTTGGTAGAGCGAACACTGTGAGAAATTCAATTCACAACAAGCAGAGATGCATGTAGGTTGTAGTACAAACCTGAGGACTATAGGAAAAAGGGCGATATACATCAGGATAACGTATAGCACCCTAGTACGCAGATGAGACAAACTCTCCGCATACTCGTTTAACTTTTCACTTACTGGACGGCGGGGACGAATGTCGAAACAGCAATGGATTGAAAGCCTGCATTTCGCACGCCTGCGGCAGCGAGGACGGCGTTGATTACCCGGACACCAACTGGAATTCCGTCGAATGCAGGATCGCCTACATTGAGCAGGAGGTCAAACGACCACGCTAACGAGCTGTCAACTCAAAGTTTGAGGGTGTGCGACTATGGTATAATGAACGATCATGACCCACTCCATGGTGAATTGCATGGCGAAAAGCAGCCGAGTCTGATTGGAAGGAAACAGGTATATGAAACAGCGACGCGGGTGGTCTAGAAGGAATTGCAGGGTTTCCTTTGTGCGAGACTGATGCGGTAAGAATGTCATGAGGATCCAACTAATGATGTGGTGGCATCAGAGTCTGCAAACATATAGCAGATGGATAGGAAATGAGGTCTTTCTCACATCAAAATGCGCAAACTGCTCTGAGGGTTAGCTCGGACCTTATCTGAATACATCCTTTGCACTCACAAAATGGGCTGGAGATAAACCGTCAGAGAAGACTGTGACTGTGTCAGATAAAGGCACCTACAAAGAATGTATTACCGGCGAGGACGCAAATGACAAGAAAGATGATCATTGGATATGCAGTACGGAAAGGTGTCATGTTCTGATCGACTAGAGACATGCCCGTGTTTGCCCATGCTCCTACCACTTGGAAAGCGGAGAACCTACCAAACTTGTGAGACCCGAAGATCCAATTAAGAATCATGAAAGGATCACCAGATTGGGTTGATCTTGCGATGCTGTTCGAAAGGCAAGAACCAAAGTCGCCAACGTGGCATACACATATATGGGGCGATCACTGTAAATGAGATCGCGAGTAATCCGAAATAGTACTAAGAATACGTCAGTACAACAGCAATTTGGTCGATCCTTGGCAGCATCCTTACCAACGGCACGATCCACAGAAGGGCGCTCAGCGCACGGTATTCGATTCCTCCGAGCTCTTCGATCTCGTATGCAGTCAAATTGCGGAACGCTGAATTCCTACCGACGATCGCCCGAAAAGACAGATACGGCACTACGCGCGTCGGTGGGCCAGGAGCACCGCGTGCATTTTGTCCGGCATTACGAGGGATCAAGGTCTCCGTTCTTGGCATAGTTACACTCGTCCAGAGCCTGCGATGAAGCCGCGGGAATGCGAAACGCACAGCTCGCGACACCATTTCGAACGGTCCAGGAAATCCGCCGAAGTAGTCACCCTCTTCAGGCACAGGAGAGAGCTGCTGAGCGAGACTCATCCGCCTGTTGCTCAGTTGGAGCGAATGCAGAGAGTTGGCGCTGGACTCTCGTGGGGCCTCATAGTTAGAGCTGCAATCACCATCCGACGAAGTCGTACGTCGACCCAGCGGGTCGATGCGATGGGGAGCGACATCGACACGGCGGATCATCCCGGCATGCAACTTGTTCGAAACGCTATGTGCGGCCACCTTCGGTCGTTTAGCAGGAGAAATTGATCGTTGAGTTCGCTGAGATAGTCGGCGTGCCCCTAGCTCCCGCAGACCATTGTGCAGGAATGCATTTAGTGTTGGCCTCGCATCCATGCTCGTTGAATCACGTTGCGTCGAATCCCTCTCCTGCTCAGCAGCGACAATGTGGCCCAGATGCTCGAGGAAGTACAGCCTGATTCATACCACAGTCAGACCATTTATCATCATTTATTGAGAAGATTAGCTACCTCCTGACCAGGACAACGACCCATGACACGAATACCTAGATTAATTAATGCTACAGATGAGCTGATATATGCAATCGTTTGCTTACTTGATTGCCGAAGAGTTCTAGCATTACAAGGATAGCCTGCTGCCACGCCGTTGTGCTACTCAGGTCGAAAGTGACGAGGCCCGTCCCCGTGGCAGCACTGACACAGACAAAAAGCGCATCTATGAACTTGATCTTGTACCTTCCATTGGACGCATAGAATATTGAGGCCAGAACGAAGGGCATCAGTATGCTGCAAGCAGTCTGGTAAGCACTACTTCTGGCCGTTGGGGCACATTACTCACAAGAGGAGGAGATGGACGCGAAAGAAATTCAGCTTAGACTTCATGAGGATTCAACATACAGGAGATGGAACGATGGAGGGAAAGAACGAGCGGCTTGAGCCCTGGAAACGTTGAACCGACCGAGACCCGCCCAGGATGGCAGCCGTTGAGGAAAGCCACGCCTCGCACGAAAGCAAAATGCGCATTTGGAGGTCCTTCTACAGTCACTATATGCTGCTGTACCTTATATGCCGGTGTGGGTTGAGCCGGTCGGCTGGCAGATAGTACGCGCCAACTGTCAAGTCATTAGGCAGTCAGTTGTCCATAGATGAAGAAGGTTCGGTCAACGTACGTCTCGCTCACGTCGGAAGGACGCATTCACCGAAGTTCCGATGGCCCCTTCGCCGCGGTCGCCGCGGTGGCGAGCGCCTTGCTCCAGGCTCACCCATGCCTGAGATGAGCTGTAGCGAACACATCGAAGTTTGATCATCCAAATGGGACTGGGTGTCGCATTAAGCAACACTTCACGCATCAGCTTCTATGATACATCTTATATGATAGAAGATTGATTGTTGACACTGAGCCTCGGATCCTATGCGAACATATATGTTGAACTCGAGAAGTGCCGCGCGTGCGCGGCGGACCCCTTGCTCGGAGCAACGCGCAAGCTGAGCCGGGAATCACATTTAATTCATCTCTACAGTATATACATATCAATTAAGGCTCCAACTATTTATACTATTTACACTGCTGAGGTGTAAATAAATAGTATATAGTAAACAGTTATCTATATGTCATATAAACAGTTTATATAAAGTTTATATAGTTTTTTTTGGTCCCATCTTTTGATGGAGTTTTACTCAACTGTGAGCAGCCTCTGTGATTGTTGAGGCCTTTAAGGACCTATAGCACATGACAGTGAGCAGAAAACAAGCATTCAATGTCAACACTTGCACCAGGAATGACCAGAAAATCTTATGTTATACAAGAAATGACAAGAAACTCATGTTCATGAACCTACATGATGATAAACTGTCAGTGGTGACTTCTGTTAAACACTATGACTTTCAATTGGCTCACTGTTGTGCTGTCAAATCTAGCAATTGCGCACACAATAGCCCTATATCATCATAAAACTATTTATACTATATATATACATCTATTTACTATGTACAGGCCCAACTGTAAATAAACAGATATAGTAAACAGTTAAAACTATGTAACATAGTAAATAGATAGAAATGTTGGAGCCTTAATATCAATGTTTGCTTACATATGCACCACCACCAGCCTGAGAGAAGCCATCACTCTGTATCAAATAAGTAAGGGCTCATACAACGAATGACGATGACATTTAGACGTCTGTGAGCAGGTGTGAGTGAGATAAGAATTAGGTTCAGCTGTCGAAAATGTACATACAAGCCAGTTACATGTGAAGTGCAACGTGCCTTTTCCTGCCTGAGTTCACACCTTGAACTTGTACTTTAGATGGTGAGGTCAGCTGTAGGTGAGCATTCCAAATAACTCACATTTCACCTATGTATGGAAAGAAATTGCCAGTCTTCAAGTTATTCCTTCTTAAAACTTGATGCGTGATGGCGGCCTTGATGGAGACCAATGCGCCGCACAGACCAGCCTCGTACTCCCGCAGCAGGATCGTTTTTCCTTGAGAGAAGTACACAGGAATCGGGATCCCATCATATTTGACGATCTGCTGCAGATAGGTCTTGTGACCACATGTGTATATGTGTCTGGCCAGTTGCATAAGGCGTACGGTGCATCTTCTTCTGTTCAAAAGTGCCAATTCTGTATCATTAAAAAGGAGAAATCTATGCCGCGTATCATCTGAGCTCAAGCCTTGCGTGTCACTCTCATTGTTGACATCATTGTTTGCTGGAGAATGAAGGACCTGTGTGGTCCGGCGGATTCTGCCGGATGCGAGGAGAGCACTGAAGGCCACCGCTGTAAGCCATTGCAAGGCTGAAGAGTGAAACCGTAAGACGAGCGGTGAGAATCGATAGTTGCTGATGTTATAAATTTTAAGACATGCTGCATGAACTCAGCCCAGTGCCCGGGAGCATTCTTCAGTGTTGTGTGTGAAGTGGTTTTCCTTCACACGGACATGTTCAGTGATCACGCGAAGCCCGAAGTCATTTGTCTTGCCACATGTATCGTAACCTGTGCATCATCCGAAGCTATCCGCCTCTTCAGATGCATCGTGATCTGGCTTCGCACGGACATGTTCAGTGATGCACGTGAACCCCATGTCATGAAGGTCTGAAGGTCTGAAGCTTAAAGCCCTCTATCCTCCTGTATGTGTCCTAACATTCATGGTTCTGACTTAAGGCCTCATTTTCATGAGGAAACCTGTCGTATCTTGACTGCTTCAGCCATTTACGAGAAGCTGGTTCTATTTTTAAAGTCATTTTAATTGCTCATTATCTCCCCAGATCTCCATTTGTCTGTGCGCGTCTATCGCCTTGATGGACGCTTAGTTCAGTAGTCGTGTGGAAAGGCTGCTCAGACACAAGAAACGTGAAAGTGTCACACTTGGCTGCTTTATCTGCATCAGTAGGGGGTGCCAACAACTTAGCTGAATGCGCAGGCTATACAACTTGAAGGCACCGCTAACAGGAATATGACGTAATGTGAAAAAATAGTAAATCACGGAGATTATGTGCTACTACAGATTAGTACTATAGCTGTATCATATTAGTGCAGCTTTCAGTCTAGTAGTGTCTTCAGACTGTGGCCTTCAGTCTGGTGCCTTTAGAGTGTTGTAGGATCATATGCTTCAATGCACCAGTGACTTCAGCACACAATCTTATTGTCTATGTGTGCTGGTGAGTTGTCTTCAAGGTGGAGTCTTCAGGCCATTGTCATCAGAGGGTGGTCTGAAGGATGGCCAAGCCATCGCTTCAGAGTGTCGTTATCAGATTGTTGCCTTCCGATGCACCACCTTCAGACGACTGCCTTCAGGCACTGATTACCACTGCGGCATGCAGATCACAGCTGGTGACTGGTATACTGTCCGGCCAGCCAGGACAACACATCAGAGTGCACGCAACGCAGTGCAAACAAAGAGGGGATGTGTACCTGACATGCTCACCAGCTGGCTTCAGACCAATGACCCTATCCGGCTATCCGGCGTAATCTGGCAGATTTCACTGGACCACGCAGGTCCAACCTTCATGTTTGCTGATTCCTTTGGCTATAAATTATGGTTAGTGGGCTGCCGATCAGAGAGGTTGATGAGAATCATCAGGAAAACTCGAATCTGACTTATGATTCTTTTATTCGCTTACCGTCACCAAAAAAAGACAGTAAGTCCGAGAAAGTCTCAGGACCTCCTTGTTTTGGACTTTTCTCTGGGTTGTGAGCTTCTTATCGCATGCTTATTGGCTTGTACATATGAGGGACTGCACTGGATAAAATGATTTAAATTTTGAACTAGTGGAGAAAATTTGGAGTGAGCCAACAAATTTTTCAAAGTGCACAAAATTTGCCATGTGGGGCTTCAAAATTGCCACGTGGACCTCCCGAAATGGGTAGGCCACAAAGTTTCCATGTGTATAGCTACCACCATCACTGTCATCCGTCACGTGTCGTTCGCTGCTGCCACTGCCACCATCACCATCGCTGTCCTTGTCCTTGCTGCCCTCTGCCCTAGACACATGTGCTGCCCTCCATCCTCACTGCCACGGGCATGATGTCCATCCATCTGCACCTCACCATTGCTGCTGTCCAGAAAGAAATGTCACAGTATGACAGATCCAGGATCCTTTATGCTTGTCTTCAGCAGTGTCATGCAGCACTTCATCTTCCTCATTTGTAGACTCTAGAGGCAGGTGTGAAGCAAGAAACTCACCCCCACACTCTCATATTGCCTAGTGGGAATTGATATTGACAAGATAGTTACATAAGGAGAGGGCAGTGCGAACAGCACATTTGCAATCCATTGTGACCATGATTGAATATTGAACAAGCGCTCGCGATGGCGATGGCTGCGACAGCAGCAATGACAGTGACAGCGACAACGACGAGCCTGAGAAAAATATCATGGTCCATGCAGGAGCTAATGGCATGCGCAGGAACGGCGCCTACGAGATGATCAAGCGCTCGCATGCCCTTTCTTAGCCACGTGGCAAAAGTTCTGGGGACCACGTGGCAATTTCTGTGGCTCAAAAGAAATTTTCAAACTCTTTATAAAAGATTTCTCTATAGATAATTTCTCGACCATATTGTCCCGCGGCGCCCACCATATGTGCAAGCCAAAACCAGCGAGAACAAGTCAAAAAAGAGGTTCTTGAGCGGCAAGTCGATTTGAGTTTTCCTGATGATTTCTATTTACCTCATAGAGCCCACGCCTGACAGGAATGCCATCGTTAATGATGAGTTGGTTCACTGGACTGACCGTCGTGTTCGCAGTCATCTTGAGTGCCTGTACAGCCTTGAATCCGGTGGTTGCGTGGCCCTAATCCAGCCTATGCATTAGCTGCAGCTGATTTCCCGGGGTCATCGTCCGGTGAGGCCAAGGCAACTTCATCGTCCAGGAGTTGGTGCAGTGAGCATGCTGGAGGGTATAGCAGCTGGATATCGTGGTGAATGAGAGTGTCAAATATGGCGCGGCGGTAGTAGCTTTGCAGTTGTGACACGTGCAAACACGTGATGTCGAACAGCTGACTGCAGACGAGACAAGATTGACTAATATGCTTACATATACAGCACCTATTTGGAAAGAGAGTATATACTATGTTAAGTAATGTTTTTCCACCCCTGCAACTTCTTGGCGACAGGCACCAGTGAACCAAATCTTGCTCTCCGAGCAAGAGATCCGAGCAAGAGATGAAGCAACTGCTTATGTACTGAATGTGAGAGCGCTCTCGCGTATCCGCAGTCTCACACTGCGATCTGCAAGCCATTCAAATCGGACATCGGTCAGGGTGGCAATGAGCGACATTTGAGCTATATACAGTTGTTTAGTGAAATGATTAACATCCGGGGAACGGAACTGCCTACCTTCGTCTCCGACATTGAACCCGAGCGTCTTGTACGGTCCGGAGCCTGCATGTCCTTGCCGTGGGGGTGCCCCCGCAATGAAGAAGCTAGTGAAGCTGGAGCCGACCTTCCACACCAGCACGACAGACTCCTCAAGCGACACTGTCACCAGGCGCCGTCCATCCGGCGAGAAGCTGCACGCTGTTGTTCGTTTCTTGTGGCCTTCCAGCACATATAGGCGAGTGGCAGTCTTCAAATCGTACATCACCACGGCGCCTTCGCTGGTCCCCACTGCGAGGCGTTGCGTGGGGGAGTGAAAGTCGACAGTAGGGAAGCTAGGATGAACCGTATCAGAGAAGGAAATCATAACAGTCAAAACAGAGATTCACGTTTGCACAACGTGTCTGAGAATGTCAGTGGCAGAATCCAGAACTGCGTCTCGGTCGGCGGTAGAATTGGGATCCAGCGATTTCACGATAGCCTCCATCAAGCGAGGCAAATTGCTGTACAGCACCATCGGATTCTGCGAATGCTCAGCGACATCTCCTCCCGGTCAAACAGCAGGCTGACTTGCCTTGCGTATGAGGAGGATGACCAACTGCATGACAGATCTGCGGTGCTGCACGCTGCGTGGCTGCAGTATGTCGATGGTCAAGGTGGTCATAAACAGCGGCGTGTTGGCGGTAGCGATTTGAAGGACCGCAGATCGTGCTTGAGCTCCAATGTTGTGCGGTGAGATCGAGTCCTTCCGTGATGCAGTCGCCAGCGTAAAAAGTGCACGCAGCATCTCGACTGCGTCGACGTACTGTTGCCACACCGGGAAGCCACGAGAGCATAGCTCGATGGCCAAAGCGCGGTACGAGGAGCTTTCGTCGTGCAGATACTGTGCAATTGAGCGTGCTATGTCCGTGAGGACGCTGACAAAACCCGTGTGAGCATGCACTTCATGTGATTCATCGAGCATACCTTGCGGACAGTAGGCTGTACTTCTGTATGGCAATGTAACCGCATATGTGCAGCGCCATGGCATCTCGAAGACATTCTTCCGCATCCGGCTGCGCGCATGGCACTGTTGAAGTGTTCACCAATGTGACATGATTGCGTACAACTGCACACTTACGATACGCCTGCCAATATTCAACAGCTTGCACGGCCTCCTCATCCGTGAGGCGAGCGACTCCGATGTCAAATAGTGAGCGAGATGCGTTCCGGATTTCCAGTACTACCTAGCGTGAACATTTAACTAGTTGTCATAATAGCAATCATACCGATCGATTGTAGCCACTGTCTTGTTAGGAACGATAGACTCGGCGATTGATACGAGGTGCCGACCGCCTCCGCAAGAGACGTGGCGTAGGATGTCATTACGGTGCTAGTATCTGATTTGAGCGCTTCGAGAATGGTCACCCAGACTTTCTTCAAGTACAGAAACCATGAACACATACCTTCATTCTGCATGAAAACGTTCAAGATGCCGAGAATCGCCACAGAACGTGCAGCTGAGACCTCCGGGGAAGCACACCATATTGGCGTACTCTGTTCGTTGTATACAGAGGTCGTCCCATTGCTGTACCTCCAAAAATGGAATTCTGAGTTGCACTAATTGAGAGTAATATTTCAGACTCACTCACCCTGCATAGCCTACCGGAAGACATGAAGATTTGGCCCCCAGTTTTTCACGGCATATTCTGTCGATCTCGTTGCTCAAGCCAGGGGTCAAGACTGCGGAAAGGACAAGCGCCAATTGCTGCCAGTCGATTGGGCGTTTCTGCTCTATGTTGGTGTTGGACGGAATTGCACCAGCGGACAGAATGATCCCCGTGCTCTGCCGTATGAGCGCCACGACATCCACAAGAACTGTGGACGCTGTTGGCAGGAGTTCCTTGTTAGAACCAACGTTGGAAGGCAAAAATGACTTTACTGACAAGCGCCCGCGACGGACTGGCAGGGCAAGGATGAAACGACGGCCTTCGAAGTATCCCCAGTGGACTTAACAGACCTGACATTAGGACGTCAGACGGATTACCACATAGAAAAGCAGCTTCGCAAACACACCACCCGTTCCATCCTCCCTGCTTCATCAGCTCATCCACCTTCTCCGCACTCATTGATCTCCAGAACTCTCTAGTCTTCGAGTCCCACAGTCTCGCCCGTCCATCAGCGTACAGCAGGAGAAGATTGTCTTCTCCGACATATATCCTGCTCAATGGTGCCGAGGACGCCGGGACGATGAAAACCCTGCGAAGAATGTCATTCAACAAGGCGTTGGATGAGTGGCACTCACGTACATCTGACAGCTGTCCACTGCTATAGTGGCGATCGTACCGTCCTGCGAGATGCACAGCACACAGCCTCTCAGACGACCGATGTCCTCCCCATAGAGGTGAATGACCTGGACGAGGGACGTCGTGAACATTGTCCAGCGGGCACGGAGTTTCAGCGACCTGCCTTGACGGTGAGATTCGAAGTAATAGATGTACGATGCTGCCTCACTCAAGCTCCCAGATCGCCACTGTACCATCATCTGCGCCTCCGACGATATAGCGCTTATTGGTTCGCTCATCTTCGACCAAGTATAAGGCTAGGATCTCGCCTTGCAGTGGCACATCTGAAATCTGTAAGCTATCATAATCTGCCTTCCCCAACAAACCGGCGAAGTTCGTGCGACGGAGACGCCCATCGCCTGACACGCATGGATGAGTACCAATGTAATGGTTCCGAGCGTCAAAGCCGACTCACCACATCCCAAGATGATCAAGTTCAGTTCGACAGGCAACGAAGCAGTCACTCGCAATTTAGAGGCTATCTGACCCGAATCACTGCTCGCTTTCCAGAGTGTCCGGGCTTCCGCTTGCTCAGTGGACCCGTCCATTGAGACAAATCTGATTCTTCTTCGGCCATTCTTCACTGTGGAGTAAATTAATTGGCCATCTGAGGTGATTAAACAGGAATCATATAGCGGAAGTGCTGCTTTGCGTAGTGGTACAGGTCTAGGATACGTGTCAGCCTCGAGCGCGGTGCCTATTTAGACGCGCATACTGAAGGAGTCTTGTAGCATGAGAGCCAGCGGCATTGTTTATCACCTCGCTGTCGGCATCAACTTCTTTCCATATATGTGTCTCTGCCCTGTCCTGTAAAGATGAGCCAGAAAGACTTCAAATTCCGATGCAGCCGAACTCTTACTGGTAGCACCACTGAAAACGAGTGCTCGTTGATCCAATGGATATCGTGGATATCTGCGAGATCCATGGTCACACTATAAGCTAACACCTGTTCACGCACTTCAAGCAGCTAAACATTAAATGAGCGGATGAAGGCGCACTTTCTATGCCCGACTTACTATCAGCTCCGACTCCGACCAGCATGCAACGCGAATGGCTAAGCCACTGGCTATGACACGCAGACCACATATTGATCCACGAAGGGCCACTTCTCCGACATCGGTCGCTTCCGCTAGAGTCACTGGCATCGACTCGTCTTCGGTGTCAGAGTCGGGCTCCCTCTCCCCTGAAAGGGCCTTCAAAGCCTTGAATGGGATGGCTAATTGAAGGGCTATATTCGTGCCAGATGCAGTTCTCACTTCTCCCGAAGGCTGTGGGTCCTCGATAATGCTCATCTTCCTTCGCATCATACGAAGCAAGGAGGACACATAAAATATATCGACAGAACCTGACAGATTCACGGTAAGGGTGCGTATCCAGAAACATGCATGTAAGCTCACCGTCGGGCTGTTCGTGTAACCCGAGACTCCCGGCGAAACCATCTAGGCACCAGGCACCGACTTTCACGAAACGCAATTCACTACCGTCTTCGTGAGGGCCCATCTGGATTTCGAAGGCGACGACCAACATCTGAGCTTCCGTCTCGCCATTCGTCGGATCCGGGTCTCGATATGATGAATATGATGTTACGCTGGATGCACAAGCGAAGAGCATATTGGACTAAATGCGGCCGGAGATAATTCAGGCGTGACGAGCTTGAATAGAGACAGGTACCTTCGTACCTCTCCTAGCAATGACATGTGCAGGCCTTTCCAGACCCACATATTGAGAGAGGGAGTGCTCCGCTTCAGGTAAGCAGGCACAGGAATGCCTTCTGATTCAATGCTGAGAGAAGTCACGCATGACCCATCGGTGGCAACATGAGCGGAGACGTCTCTAAAATTCAAGGTCAACGACTATGCATAGAAGATGGGATTGAGAGCTACCCTGTCCGACTCAAGAGAATGATAAAGCGTCCATTATCGTATGTATTGATAGCAGCGACCGCACCCGCAGATCCACTGGACGGCGGAAACACATGACAGGACAGTGATAGAATAGATGTTTCCGCACAATCGTCGGGCTCCTCAGCAGCAGCGGAGGTGTTTGGAGGTGTCACGCTGGATGCGCGCGATCTACCAGACGTGGCTGGTGAAAGCGCTCTGAGTCTACGCTTGCCAGACGTTGAGGATGCCTTCTCTTTGTCCGATAAATTGTTCCGTTCAGTACCTGGAGACAAGAGTACGTTGAAGGCCTTTTCCTTCATACTTTTCCCCTTCAGCATTCCCTTCAACTTCTCTGGCTCGTCGTCGAAATCCACGTAAGTTTTGGGCGCCTCGACCTGTTCTGCAGAGACCGAGGCAATAACGCGTGATCGCGTCAGCTGGAAAGGATTGGTGATTGGCCTGTTCGAAGATGGTGATGCTGAACGGGAGTGCGCGGCACTAAGACTAAGAAACCGAGGGCTAGCGGACCTTGAGCTATCCGTGAGATCTGGAGATACAGCAGCGGACGCACGCCTCCTACAGGCCGCATTCGACGGCGTGCGGAATAGGTAGAGTGTTCCGTCCTCGCAGCCTACCGCGAGTCGGCGGGCCCTCGACGAACAGTGATCGTCGGCTGTCTCACTCGGAAGACATGTCCAAGAATGCAAGCAGGATGGACGAGCTGATGTGCAACCGTAATCAAGCACATCGCCGTGGGTGATAAGGCCCTTTTGGCCAATTATCGGCATCAGAGTGATTGGAAGCACAAGAGAGCAGGCATCCATAGCGGCCAGATGTGCTTGAGGTGCGTCAACCCGTCCGGTTTCGTAGTGTTTGATACGGGAAAATCTGCAGCGTTGTGCCGACCGTAGTCGAGTATGGAGTCCGCCACTAGTTTCGACGAAGTGATATTGACTGCACGACAGACAAGCATGAACAAATGTCGAAGTAATCGCCTAAGTACTATGATCCGTCTGTGGGGGAGCGTTGAGCTTAGTAGTGATCGCGATCACAACAAATGTGATCCGTTACGCACTACTGTCACGCTCACGCTCACGCCTGAGAGCTGGAAACATGCTTTTCTCCTTTTCGTATAGCGATGCAGCTAACCGTCAGTCATGAAATTGCGCAGCAGCTCTATCTCAAGGCTTTATGTTGATCTTACAAACCGCCGCACGCGCCAAGACGTAGTATTGCCACATCATGTGCAAACTTGCGAAGAACCGGCGAAGAACCGTTTCCGCATTCCATTTTTCTGGTTCGTTCGCGCGCTTCGTCGACCAGCCATATGGTGTTGAGCATTTCTGAAGACCTGATTTGCGGACACCTGCTTGAGTCAAGGGTTGGGCAACGTCAGATCAAAGCCCAAGCCCGACTTGTGCGTATGTCGAAAGTGCGGAAGGCCTGATCATATCTTTGCAGGTCAGATTGCGCCGATCTCTTAGAGGCGGACTTGTAAGGTGCATTCATCACCTCTCCGGACAGCACGACGATTGTCTTCCTCATGTCTGCCACTTTCACCCTCCCATCCTCCTTTGTGCTGAGTTGTTTTATTGCGTGATTTTCGTGCAACAGCAATATCATTTGTGGATCCAATGCTCAATGCGGCGTGCACAACAGAGGTCGTACAGGCCGTTGTTCAGCCCCGCGCCAGATTGTCCATCACCCGTCTCCGTTTGATAGAGATTCCATTGTCAGGGAATCCTGGTCACGACGACTCCATGCGCCGAAAGAGCTAGGGGTGCGTCATCTCCCACTAAACGTTACTTCCATTCATGCAAGCGATCCATTCCGTGCCGGTCGCGTACGAGGTTTCTAGGGCTGAGATTCACATAGATGTGAATCATCGAGCACGATGCGCATCAAACTAATGGGGAAATGTGTACTGACGATCCGCTGCGAAGGTCGGCTTCTGATGCTTCAGTATGCTTGGCAAGAAGGATTACAATATTCTTCTTCTGGACCAAGTGGGTCATTCTACGGGAGCCGTTGATCGCAGTGGCAGCTATATGTCGGCATTTCGTCAAACCAAGCTCGCTCATCTAAGTAGAGAAGAGCAGTTTGCTTCTCATACGCAGCGTACTGCTTCCACGTCCGCACAAACTCCACCACCAAATGTCACTATGTCTGGCTGGTAAGTGTGCGGCTCTGCCATATAGCGTGAGCGAAATCGCGCGGCTAGAATCCACCTTTCGGTGCCTCCGCTCACTGCGACGAAGATGGAAATGGTCTTATCTCGTGCAGAGGCGTCGAGCATGCCGCCGCCAGCGTCATCGCGCCTTGCGATGAGCACGATTACCGGGATGGTCATCGGCGCTTGTGAGCGTGTTCAGCGTTGATGATAGATCACTACCTCGTGCTAACGACAATCTCGTAGTGTGCCTCTTTCTCCTGGTGATCACCTATCAGCTCATCCCACGCCTCCACCACAAAGTCCCAGCACGTAACAGCATCGGCGTACTGCCGGCACCTAAGGCTCGTGCGGGCCACCGTCTGTCCCTATTCGGACGCATCGGCGCCTTGTTCTCTCGACTCATCCTACTTTTTATCTCGGGATCCAAAACGGGTGCCACGACAGCGCCCGCTTCAGAAAGACACAAATCTTTCCATTCGTTCCATCTATCCTCGCAGCAACGCCGTGATGGGAAATCCACTGGAGAAACGTTTTCCACCCGGCTTCGTCTCAAACTGCATATACTACCTGCCACGGATCTTTTGTCTCCGCGACCGCTGGGAGATCATAAGCACTACCGAAAGCTCGACGATAACAAGGACTGCTATACACAGATGCCGAAGAAGGCAGTCATGTCTCCTTGGTCTCCTCGAGAACAAGACTTTCCGTACTCGTCGGTCCCCACTCCTTCGTCGCTATCCAAGGCTCCTTGGGGATTCGATGAGCCACCTCCTTTCTCTCCCCCTCCAGCATATGTCCCTGGCACGCCCATTCGATACGCACTCTCACCAACCTCTTCTGCTGTGCCTTCCCCTCTGAGAGACGGGACAGACCACAGGGAGATACGAGAGTCAATGCACGAGGCAATCGATCTCTCGGAGGTGGTCGTCGTTGAGCCTTCTCGTCCCGAAGGACAAACACCTGCGGGGGCATTTGTGATATCGGATGACATGGACTCATTCAGTGATACCTCAAGTATATCCAGTGTGTGGTCGTCCTGTACCTTTGAGGAGATCGTATAAGCCCCCTATGTCTTTTCAGCTCGTCGTACATTGTCTGCAGCGTTTCACGAATATGTATTGACGTTGACAATCAAGGTGTTGTGAACAGCAAGGACGATTATATGGATTCAGAGAATAGGATGTGTATTTTTATCATCCTTGTGGGACATATGTGTGACGGCGGTGGCCCATTTCTGCAGGTAGGTTTGTTGGAAACACTTTTGCAGACGCGACGCGTCTTAATTAATTATCACGTGATCGCGGTGTCGCATGGACGTGGCGTTTGGTTGAAGCGCCGAAGTTTGCATCGCCATTCATGTCGAGCTGAACGTCCAGCGCACACCGACATCATGCTTTGGCTCCTTCTTATTGCAGTGTTTTCTCTGATTTCTGTATATCTGATCTCCTCCCATCGGCAAAACATACGCTCGACTAATGACGCACGGAAACGGGAGATTCTGAGTGAGCTTGGCGTGCCAGACTCACGAAAGACCGTGGTGGGATTCTTTCATCCGTACTGGTAATTGGCAATGCAACATACAACAGGACGCGCACTGATTGTACCAGCGTATCTACAGCAATGCGGGTGGAGGTGGAGAACGCGTTTTGTGGACTGCAGTAGCCATCTTGCAACGCAACGAGCCAAACATGATCAGTATTGTCTACAGCGGGGATGTTGATGCCACCAAGCAAGAAATTATTGACAAAGTCAAGGTACCGTTATGCTGCAAGCATGCTTGTTTTTTTCAGGCTCAGTCCTGCCGCAGGCACGATTCGACATCGACCTATCCCCTCAGAGCCTGCACTTCGTGTTCTTGAAATCACGATATCTTGTGGAAGATTCAACATGGCCACGATTTACTCTGCTGGGGCAGAGTGTTGGCTCCATGTTTCTTGCATGGGAAGCAATGGCGCAGCTCATTCCGGACTTGTTCATTGGTTCGTCTCATTTGTCTGAGTATCTGTGACCGTGCCTACCCTCTCTTTCCATAGACACGATGGGATATGCTTTCACATTCCCTGTTGTCAAATTCCTCGGCAACGTTCCCATGGGCACCTACGTTCACTATCCGACCATAAGTACCGATATGCTAGCGAGAGTACGCTCTCGGAAGGCGTGGCATACAAATTCCAACGCGATTTCTTCCTCAACAGTACTCAGTACCGGAAAGCTCCTGTTTGTCTTGCTTATATAAGTCGAAAGGCCTCTGTGCTTACTCCATCCATCTGGATAATGCAGGTACTATCGATTATTTATGTACTACTACGCAAATTTCCTGAGGCAAGCTTCATTCCTCATGGTCAATTCCTCATGGACCAAGAACCACATCGACTCCATATTGCAACACAACGATTTCCTGTTGGACACAATACATTCGTGCACTCCTCTAGCTCTCTTTCGTTTACTCATTTCCTCGCGTGGGGAATCTTCCAAGTCTGCTCTGATTGTATATCCTCCATGTGATACTCGTGAGATGGCGAAGTTCCCGCTGGAGGGACGCAGACGGGTGGTCCTAAGCGTTGCTCAGTTCCGGTAGGTCACACCAGTAATCTACGCACTCGGAGTCAGTCGCTGACGTGACCACAGTCCTGAGAAGGATCATCCCGCGCAATTACGAGCGTTCCATCAGCTCTTGCAGTCTCATCCGGAGTATGGTCATCCGGGTAACGCTCATGTGCAGCTTGTCCTTTTAGGTGGTAGCCGCAATGCGGAGGATGCAGCTCGTGTGGAGAGTCTGCGGGTTCTGGCGAAGGAGCTTGCTATTGAGGTCCGTCAGCCTGTACCCTTAAAGCTCGAACTTCGCATCCGGGCTCAACAAGCTATTTCAGGAGCATGTCCAATTTGTTGTGAACGCATCGTATGCTGAGATGCTGCACTGGCTTTCCATTGCTAGTATTGGTCTCAGCACCATGGTCGACGAGCACTTCGGGATTAACGTCGTAGAGTTCATGGTATGTACGGATTGCTGTTGTTTGCGCGTCGATACTCAACTTGGAGTGTGGCTTTAAAGGCTGCTGGAGTGATACCGGTAACACACGCATCCGGCGGCCCACTTAACGACATTGTTATCCCTTTCGAGGGAAAACCTACAGGTCCGTCAGGATATCTGATGCTCGACCATGCGCACTGAACGCGATCGTAGGATTTCATGCTACATCTCCGGACGCATTTGCAGAAGCATTGAATACGGTCCTCACGATGCCACCAGAGGAAGATATTGCTATGAGGACACGCGCAAGAACATGGGCAGTACAGCGCTTCTCGGAGGGAGAATTTGAAAAGGGATGGAATGCAAGTGGCTGGAAGAAGTGGATGCCTTCGTAAGTTAGCTTTATACGTCTCTACTAATGCTAAGGACAATAATGAGATGCTTGGTTCCGGCGATGTCAGTCACTGCTGATATACAATATTGATCCAGAGAGGCATCTACACAATGCAAGATCTGCTGAACGATGCGTACGATGTGCAACAAAATTTGCCTGCGTGAAAGCGTTGGCTTGGTCTCTATGTGTCATCCTCCATATCAATCCTTCACGAGAATCTCGTCAGCTTTCCCGCGGATTTCGTCAAGGTCCTTGTAGCCGACCAGCCCAAGTGTGATATCCAAATCCGCGAGGATGGCTCTCAGTTGGCTTTCTACACCGATCTGCCCACCGATGGCAAGAGCGTAAATGTACGGCCGTCCATCTGTAATTTTGGTGATATCCGTCAGATTGCACAGTAGACCTTAAGGACGACAGCTTACACAGTACGCCTTGGGCGCCAAGCGCAACGGCTTTGATTATATCGCTACCAGTGCGAATGCCGGAGTCAAACAAGATGGTGAGTTTGCCACTTGCTTGAGCTTCCTTGACTTTTGGCGATTGCATGATCTGATGCAAAGCGTATAACGATGATATAGACCCATCCACTTGCCGACCTCCTGTGGAGCAATCAGTCTCGGGTCATCATATCAGCATCTTGATCACTGACCATGGTTAGAGACGACGATGCCGTCTACTCCATTATCGATCGCTAGTTCCGCATCCTGGCAGCATGTTCACATCAGGGACGAACCCACACGATTTGTAGATGCGTACCTGTCGACACATGATACCCTTCAGAACGAGCGGCCCATTCCAATGCTGCCTCAAAAAGGGAAGATCATCCCACGTTTTGAACACGCCTGGAGTCGTTTCGCTAATCCATCCATTCCCGAGCATCGAACGCTCTTGAGCATCCTTGTCGCCGTTGCGAATGAGCTCGTCCAGATGGTTAGGAACATAGGGCCAGGCAGGCTTGTCGTCCTCCGAATACGGCTTGAGACCTTTGTGCGCCATATATACGGGGTCAGTCAGTCCGACCTGAGCGCCCACGCCATGGAAGAAGGGCAGATAGGCCGTGTCGATGTCGTGAGGCCGCCAACCCAGAAGCATCGTGTCCAACGTGACTACAAGCGCACTGAAACCGGCCTTCTTGACTCTTGACAGGATAGAAAGCGTTATGTCGTTGGATACAGGCCTGCTCGCCGCGCGTAAGAGACTGCGTCGATTTTTCTCTGACATGGAGTGCTTACCAGTATAGCTGATACCAACGCGGGCCCGACCCATTAGCTCTCGCCACAAGTTCGATCGACCGTGTTGATGCCGTGCTCATGATATATGGCACGCCTACGTTGCTGGCAGCTGCCGCACTCGCCTCTTCGCCATCCGAATGGACGATTCCTTGCACGCCGATCGGTGCAAGAAGGAGTGGCGATGGATACTTTACGCCGAAAAGCGTGGTCTGAGCTTATGTCCTCAGTTTTCTTGGCGACTTCACATAATTACGATAAGGCGGCTTACCTCTAGTTTACGACTCGTGACGTTGCGCAGCATGCGTGGTATAATTTTCCACTTGTCGAACTCCCGGCGGTTGTGGTCATGCGTGGAAGCAGTGCCAGCGCTGCCAAAGACGTACATGTACGCATCTAATAGTAGGTAGAAATTCCGCACGGTGATCATTTTTGTGCGGCGGTATATGATATGCTCAAATACTCGCCTTGTCGATCTCTGAGCTTCTCGCGCGCGATCCGCTCTGCTTTGTCGACATCGACGGTACCAAGTGGAGGGGGTTGTCTGCTGTCGTAGATCGTTTTCTGATATGACGACCGGGTGGTGACTGGCTTCTGTTCAGAAGACATTGTTACAGCCAGTGAGTCTCAATTACTATCGAAAGTGGGAGGGGATGAGAATTGTAGGGCTAGATACTCGTATGCGCTCTCTTTATAACGTTCAATGACGACGAACCCGGAAGGAGAGAGCCGACTGGAATATGTGAGATAACTGCTCCAGGCTACAAATCCGCCATTCTGACAGGGAGAAGCGAAGCGCAATGCTGGCGCCGCGGAATCAACGCTCGGATATTAGGGCCACGGTCGCTTTACTTATCGCGGTCGATAGATCTCCGGGGGATCAGAGTCTAGGTGATTTATCCGGGCAAATAGTTGTAGATTCGTTGTCTGCTGACTGCGATCAGCATGCAAATTAGCCGGCTCGGGATTGCTCCTCCGCACGCATGCGTTCACAATCGCGATACATCATCTCCGACTTGAAAAAGCGCGCCTTATGACAAGCAAGAAGGTGTGTTCCCGGGCCACGAGCGCACCCACAGGTCTAGCCACCATAAATCCGAACTGACAGAGATCGCTTCGTGAATCACGGAAACTAATACGAGTCCGAGTCTGTTAGCGCCATGTGATGCCCATTATGCAAGTGGAGAAAGAGACGGCATGGTTTTGCCCTTTTTATGGCTGCAACGTAAAAGTGGGCTGCAGAGAGTAGAATTAGACTCGGTGAAAGACACACAAACGGTCTTGGCGGGATCTATGTTCTGCAGTTTAATCGTAAGCGAGGGGATGTCAAGTTGAGCTCAAGGCACGCCGCGGGAGGTGGGGAAAGTGTGTCGAAACAACTCAAAGCCGCAGAATCAGGCCGGATGGGGGTGGGGAAAAATCTGAGTGGCTCGATGTGAAAAATCCGACGGAGCTGCACAGTGCAGGTTGATGGTGTCAAGGAACGGAAAATTGCTTGCGACACGCTGGACATGAGGACTTATAATAGAGTTCGATAGATCGCATGAAGTAGCTCCGCAGAATAGGATTCAAGATGACCTTTACTTAAACTGCACAACCGTGGTCGAGAATCGGCGCACGTATCACGGACTCAAGTATAGTAGTATTTCCGGGGAAAGCAATGTGAGCACAAGACCAACTCTCCTCAAGCATGCGAACAACCTGAAGATAATTCAGGTCACATGAAATCTTCTTCCATCTCCCGGACCGACCTCTTGACAGGCTCGTCTCCCTGGTCATCTTCTTGACTGAAGAGCGTATCATACGACCTCGCGGCCTTTTCTGCCTCTCGGGCTAGCGCGAGCTCCGCATCAGCCTTTTTCTACATGATAAATGCCACAGAATTGGCGTCAGCGGTGTACGTTAGAATGTAATACAGCAAGGAAAGTACACTACCTTTGCCGCAGCCGCCGCTCTTTGTATTGCGTTTTCTTCCTTGATGCGATCAATTCGCTCTTGCTCGTGATCGACCTGTCGTTCGACTTTCGTCTTGCTGAGACGGTTTACAATGGGATTTTCTCGCTTAGGAACATGTACTGAGCGTTGCTTCAGTTATGTTATGCACAATTTGCTTCGAAAGCACTCACTTCGCTTGACCTGTACGGATCGCCAGATCAGAGACATTCCAGTCATAACAACGTTTGAACGTCACCTACCTGCTTATCATTGTGGAACGAGACTTGCCCGACCGCCATGTCTCCAGTTTTCTGTCCATCAACTCCATGCTCAGAGCGTATTACCACATGTGACAATAGGATTCATGTCCACCTTGAGATTGTCGGCGGGGGTATAGATAATCGTCAGGTTATCCTTCTTGTTTCCTGCAATCTGTGGGCATCAGCTACAGATCGCTCCTCTGCCTTCAACCACTTGGCCTACATACCTTCGATGGAATTAGCTTTGACCAACTGCGCACAATCTATGAGGAGCGGCTCTGGAATGCTCTCCCATGACATCCCCTCCGGCATCCTCAGATACACGTGTGCGGACGAGAGTTTGTCGACATGGAACCACACGTCTTGTGGCCAAGCATATTTGATAAGTTCTTCATCTATCGGACAAAGGACGTCGGCAGATGAGCCGATTGCCACAGATTAAATTACGCACTTTCGACCTTGTCTTTGCCCATATAGAGCGTGACCGGCGGATCCACCGCTGCAGAAGCTGACTCTCAGTCATCCTTGGGCAGATAGATGAGTGCTTACAAGTCGACTTGAAGAAGAGCACCATCGGGTCAGAACAAAAACCAGCAGGCTCTCAGCGGGAGATGTGTGCAAAAGTCTGCTCGTGATGCCAGGTGAAGGTTGCAAGCGCGTCTTCAAGATGCTGCAACTTAGCTCAGATATGCAGCCCTTTCAGAGCCTATATCAGAATTTGAACGATCGAAAGCGCGCGAGTCGGTCAACGTGGGTGATTGCAGCAAACGCAGTGGGTCGCCGTTCGCTTCGACGGGAGATTGTGGCGCGATCTCAATGGGCGCCGTTCACACGAGCGAATGACCTCGCCATCATCAGGACAAAATATAGCTTGATTGCGATACACAGCATGACATAACGACATTCGAGGCTTGGGACATTGTATAAGCGACACAATGGGAGGATGGAGGTGTGCCAGTAGTGATCGTTGCCAGGGTATAGTGTTACTAGGTATAAATGCTACAAACTCTTGTCATGCGAAGGAACATAGTCATCATGGTGCACAGAACGATGCTTCACGTAAATGCTCGTAAAGTTCCGTTGCAACTGTCATGGGATGTGCTATGGCAAGTGCGCCTGGGCGGGCACTCTCACGGTCGAAGGCCCGAAAGCCTCGGGACCAGGATCCTCGACGGCGGTGGCATCGGACTCGACCGAGAGTCCGCGCGAAATATGAGATGCCGTTTCCATGTCCAACGTGCCTCCCTCAGTATCGCGCAGGCGTGGTTGGTGGGTGGTGGCAGTGGCAGCCAAAGTCACCAACCAGGCGATGAGAGTCTGTTGATGCTCAGTCTGTTGCATGGTGGCATTCCTAGGGGCGTGTGAAGGCAGGTTCATACGCGAGGTAGGCGATAGGCGTCGGGGTACACGCGAGGAGCGCTGTGACGTATGCCTAGTACCGATAATGGCAAATGATATGACGACTGCTAAGAACAGTACTATGCAAGAGATTGAGTATGGATTGAATGAGGTCGATGAGCAGAGTTCAATGACAGAAGTATTCACCGAAAACGAGAACCATTGTTACGATAGTTCGGCTACTGAGTCCATAACCTGGGTTCTCATTAAGCCGCCTACCGGCGTAGCCGGCAGGGTTGCCTCGGTTGACAATAAACATGCACTGATCAAGTGGTACTTGGGGCCTGATCAGTTATAGGATTAGCAAATCTAAACTGCTCGACTCACTGCTGTCGTAGCAGCAGAGCAAGGGTAGACCGATAGACCCTCGGTAGCGGCGGAGGGTACGAGTCACCAGGAAAAGAGAGAGCAGCTTGCGAGTCACTGGGTATATATTTTGAGGCCTGAGGCGGTGGCTCTTCTTTGGCAGTGGCAGTACAACACAGGCTATGTACGACTGCCAGACAGAGACATAGATAGGCCAAAGCTGCCGCAGAGCGCTGGTTTATAAGCTGGTGTGCGGGTGAAATCGCGAACATTGAGATATATACGCGGACACCTCGGTGGCCAGACGGCATTCAGCGACAATGCTCTATCAGACAACGGAAGATCTCCGCAGCCTGATACACTCGTGATATGACGCCGACATTGATTACCAGCTCCTTGCTGCAGCGGGCGGCTCGCGGATCCGAACACATTCGCATGCGCTAGCAAGACCAGGGTTGTTCAAGGCTATCGTATGTTAAGACAAGCAAATCGTGATCCAAGGAAAGAACAGTGCGATATCCTTGGAGCAAAAAGGGCTCAAAACCTAGTATGCGGAGCTGCTTTTAGTTGGCCACCCCATGCAGCTACACAGCATCCCGTGCGTTTCAGGAACCGCTTGCTCGAGTCAGCCCTTAGAGTACACGAGGTTTGCCGAGCAGACGGCAGGAGGCCATCAGACCGCAACCTTCAAGCCCCAGCAGCATATCATGCCTTAGTGTTTCGAACGCCGAAAAGCACGAGTAGGGTCGACCTATTAAGTTCTGAAATATAGCATGAAAAGAGTGGTTCTGTCCAGCGCGGAGTCATCGCAAGTCCAAGCGGGAGGCATCGACTCTGTCTGAGCAGCGATTGGTGGCAACAGATGGCTCAGATTGGGGCTCCGATCCATTCAGTACCTTCAGCCACATTCCCACGCCCTCGGCCAGACCGTCGTCGAGCTCATCGCTCATCGCGACTCACGGTACGCTCGACGCTTCTCATCCACTTCGCCATGGATCACGACCGAAAATCAGTGGTGTCCTCCTTCTACGGGGGACGCAGGTCCACCGACGCACTCAACGCCGACTATGCCTCTCCCCCTACAAACCAGAACCACGCACGAATAGACTCTGCTTCGTCGTTCTACAACCCGGATCGGGCGTCGAGGGCAGGCACCGGGATGCATGGTGCTACGCCGACTGCGGGGTACAACCGCTCGTCTTTTTTCCTTACTGGGAGAGAGGAACCTGTGAAGGGTGGGTATGACGAGGAAAGCATGATGGCTAATCGCGACGAAGGCTTTGACATCTATGCCGACTTCAACAACCAGGGGCCCCGGTATTCTGCTGCCTTCGTGCATAAGGATACAGGGTACGCATTGGGCTGCTTAGCAGCTATTGATGGATTTGTAAATCGATGAATGTTGCAGATATCGACCAGTGCCGTCGCCGACGCCATACAAGGAACAGGAAGCAAACCCAGCTACACCGGGTTCGGTAGAGCTCGTCACTGTACCAGCATTGGGGCCCGAATGGAAAAAATCGGAGATGCGTGAGATGAGGAGCAGTGCCAAGCGCCAAGAAGCCCTAGAGTCATTCCGAGACAAGTGGAATGCGTGGAATCGCGGAGAGCGAGGCATATGTGGTCCATACTTCACGAGGCGGACAACGACATACGTCGTCTTTGGGCTCTGCGTAGCGTGAGCATACTGTTCGTTTGACCATTCGTCCGATCCTAACTGCAGCGGTGTAGTGTCGGGATCGTGCTCGCCTTCGTAATTCCGCGTGTGCCCGACTTGTACTTCCCATCATCAAACCCGCTCAGCAATGCCACATATCCGTTCAACAGCTCAGTGCAAACAATCTTCTCGCGCTCGCCTGCCAACTTCAGCTTCCCAGCAGACGTTAGCATCCAGTTTTCCACAAGCTCGAATTACCTCCCTTTACACTTCACGAAGCTCGAAGCGACCGTGTTTGATCAGTCCCAGGACCGGCAGGTAGCGACAGGTCATCTTGGATCAACTTCCATACCTGCGAAGGCGTACTCCACCTTGAAGATCCCATTGAACTTCACATATGTGGCTACGAATGACTCCGATATCACTTGTGCGTATTCAACTTGTTGAAATGCGCGAGCGATCACTCAACGCAGGCACTTCAGGGTTGGACTTTTACGACGCTTGCCGAAATCCTGCAGCGAACGCGAATGACACGCGACCACGTAGGTCTATTCATCCGATAACCGTACATGTATATCTTCACTGACAATTGGGCCAGCACTGCAATTCTATCTCGATCTTGATATGTATATTCTTGGCCTTCCTGGCAAGAAATCTGAATCAATTACAGCAACCGAGGCGGAGTGTCCAATCACGCTCTCTCTAAGCGCAGCGTAATGCGACTGCGCAGGCGGCCTGGGACCTTTTCTCTTACTTATTGACTTTCATTGTTTGAATAGCGTTCAAGGCTTCCTTGTGTGTCATTAGCTCACTTCGTGATAGCGGACCCAATATCGGACTATAGTGGACTTTCAGTGACATATCATTTCTGCACCTTATTCTTGTCTGACGTCGCTCACTGTTCGTGTCCATACTACGTTCTGTATTGTTCGCACACTAATGCATGGCTCTCGCCGTTTGCCTGAAGTGTGCTCAGATAGACAGATGATTGTCACTTTCAGAAACGGCTGCTCGTCCACGATGTGAGGCACCGCCACCGGTGTCGGTCCAACTTACAATCGATGTCGATCCTGACCAGGAAGCGGGATTTGGTGACCTGCCTAGCCACATAGTTCCTTTCTACCGCTCATACCTCATTATGGAACAGCGCTATCCATCAACTTCCTCTGCACTTGATAGTCGATCATCCATCCGGCACCGTTCTGGAGTGTACAGCCCAAGACCGGGACACCCCTCTCCAACAAGCGGGTCGAGTCGCAGGCTATCATATCTAAGCCAGCAGAATACCGATGTCGATAACGATTCCAATCCGATCATCACTGTGCAAGTAGAAGATGTCGACGCTGGCGGTGGCGAACCCACCATCCTCTTGGTCAAGCGTGCTGCACAGTCATATCTGACGCCACACCTTCCTTCCTTCGCCATGGGAAATGCGCCCGGTGCATTACGCTCGCCAGAATTACGACAGGCACGTATCTCGCCGAATTCGCCATTCTCGCCGCAGGCGCCGCATCCCAACGAACCCGCTGCACAGTTCAGCCCGGTACCGCTCACACCGCGCCCGCAAGAGCTTCTGAGGGATCGGTCAGCCTGTTCCGTGGCCACGATGCAGTCCACTGCTTCTCACTTCTCCAGCTTGCCTACTCCAGACTTTGGTGTGCGCGCCGAAGACGCGCTCCGGTCGTATTTTCCTCGATTATTCTCGTTTGCGAGCGGATGGCAAGGACCTCACAATGCGGACCAACCTGAACGACCCTTTACCGTCCGCAATGAGTCAACCACATCTTCTGCTTCTGAAGACAGTACTGCCGTGTCAGAATTATCATCATATTCAGTGCATGTTATCGAGTCAGAGTTAATGAATGCTCGGAGGCCTGTACTGCTACCCTCGTTCAGCACGAGCGACAAGTTCACGCAGAAGTTCCCGAGGCCACGTTCAGTGAAGAATCTGACTTTCGTCGTTCGCGGAAAGGCCGCAGTAGCAGCCACGATGCTCGAGGAAGGTGACGGACTCGGAATTGAAGGCGTCGACCGCTGGACAATGCATAAATGGTGCTTGCTTTTGTCTGTGTGCAGCGTCTTGGTCTATGGCGTGGCCGGTCTCGTCTGTGCCATCATGACATGGTTTCGGAGTAGGTCCGCATCTTTGTTCGCGTTCGGGCGCTCACAATATTTCTTTGCAGCTTGGGAACGTGCAGATGTGATGTACGTCGCGGACAACGACATCCTGATTCTCATCACACTGGCGTCATCGATTCTGCTCCTGAGCTTTCTCGTCGGGATCAGCGGCACTGTCTTGAACTCTCGTCCCATTCTGGCAGTATATGCTCTCCTCCTCTGGCCAGCGTTCCTGTCAATCCTTGCCATAGGCTATATGGCCTACAAGAGGAACACCTTCTCCCTCGATCGGAAGCTCAACCTCGCCTGGAGCCAGTGGTACACGCCCGTCGGCCGGCTAATCATCCAAGACGCACTGCGCTGCTGCGGGTACTACGATGCCCTGCACGAAGCCACCGCGAGCGAACAGTGCTATCCGCGGACGCCGCTGCCGGGGTGCAAGGGCAAGCTTTACCGATTCGAGCACGAGAACCTTGCCACCATCTGGTCGACGGCTTTCGCACTCGTGCCGATGCATGTGCTGAACATCGCCATCTCGCTCCTATGTGCCAACCATGTTACAAAGTCGTTTGGAAAGGGCATCATGCCGAAACAGTACTGGCTCAGCGGCGCGGATGTCAGAGCGGGCGCGGAGAGACTGATGAGCAGCGCGCATCCCGTCGCGCGCCCAAGTCTTTCGAGGCCATCGTCGAGTGGAGTGTTCCGAGAGGACCGGTATGTTTCCCTGCCGTTTCGGGATGGTGGTGCGCCCGATTGTAGTAGGAGTGCGGAAGCCTGAACCTGCATCTGAATCCCTTCCGCACTCTGTCATTTGGACCTGAGGTTCAGAATAATCCAACGTCTATGTTGAGTGCAATGCAGGTACGTGCCTTATGCATAACGGTTCTGAATCGAGCAACGTGATATCATTATAAAGAGAAGATTTAAATGCCCTTCTCAGAATGAAGATATCCAGTCCGAGACCGATGTCGGCCAAGTCAATATGTTCAACGCTTGGCGACGCTCATCGTGTGACAGTGTTAAATCGCTGCTTTGAATACCCAGAATCTAATTCTCCTGTAGATACTGTGAACTGCGACGTGAATCAATTCAAGGAGTCGAAGTTTACTCATTACCGTGACGGAGTGTCACGCTGTTATCACGCCCGTGAGCCTCGCCATCTTGGCACCTCTATGGTCAGATTTCTCTGCGTTGAACTCAAAAAACTCTAACCGAAGTATTGTGCACTATCGCTTTGTTTACTGAGGTCCTGGACCTCAATAATGCCGCGCGCAGTATCCTCAACGTTGCGCTCACTGGCAGTTACTGCACATGTCACACGTGACAATACCCGGATCGTGCGTAGCAAACGTGCACTCATATGAAATTGTTAGTATGAACCGCTGTGCATAGTACGCTCGTGGAGCCCACCGACTGGGAAGTATCTGCTTCTTCGTTGACCTCGAACAAAGCACTGGTCGTCATCGACATCCTTTGTGACGAGATGCACAGCGCAGCTGTTACAGCCTGGAACGCAAGTACAAGAAGCGCATACATGCATCCTATTCCCAGGAGTACTAGCTCCTCAGCTGGCTTATTGAATCGCACAATCCGCTTCCTTAGTAGGTCAATAGTACTAATACACATGAGCCGTGATCTCTTCCTCCTGATGATTACCCAGCAGCAAAGCAGCAACTTCCACATCCTACAAGTGTATCCGCATTTTGTTCCTTCAGTTCACCTCATCCTCATGATATTTCACCTCGACCCGGACGTCGACCCGGACTTCCACTCTCTCGACACTCTGCATAGCTGCCCGCTCCTCTGTGTCTGCCAGACAGCCCCCTTCGTCGTAGCCGCTGTCTGAATAGTCGGATCGGTCTTCTTCAATATTGTCTTCTGATGCATCCACATCCTCGGCCCCCTGTTCTGATGATGTCCCCTCCCTCTGCTCCTCCATAACCTCGTACTGGTCTCCTGGCCGTAATGACTCCGTCTGCTGTGGCTCAGCTATACGTTGTCTTCCGTCCGTCCGTCCGTCCACTTCGTCTATCATCTCCCTTATGTTTGTCTCCGCTTCAGCGGTGTCGTTTGGTGCTGTCTGTATTTTCACAGCACGCCGGAAAAAGCAATACGTTCCCTAATGTCCATCAGCTATGAATTCCAATACATCAGCGCCGCTATTACGTACTAAAATTTGAGGGAGTCCCTATCCGCGAACGTTTTCGTATGCAGCACAGGGCGACGTGCTCGAGGATGAAGTGCAGTCACGACGAGCAGTGCTCTGAAATGTACGTTTTGGATGAAGGTAGTGCAGAAGATGTTGAGATGGTGCCGGGATAGCCTCTGCACTCCGAGACGTCTCACGGATAGACGCACAAGGAACGGGGGCTCTTGCAGATTTCAAAAACGGCTGGTTCTTCCGCTGCATCATGTCACGCAGATTCCCATCATAGTCCAGGAATGGTTGAAAGCCTTGATTCCGGAAGAAATCAATTGCTCATCGGTCGATTCTGTTCCGCAGTTCTTGATGACGCTCGCGGCTCGCGTTAATGAAGGCACGCGACCGTCGACGGGCCACAACAATTTTAGCTGATCGATGCTCGATCAGGATACAGTTCGTTCTCATGGTCAGCAGAGACTGCGACCGCGTCCAATATTCATACCGGTGTTCGTAGGCAGCTCATTCAGACAAGAACGCCATCTTCGGCGTCGGAAGCGGACTGCGGCATGGCGCATAGGGCGTCAGGCTCCTCGTTGCCTTCTATTGCGGCCGTTCTTTTGTACCACTGGCAGAAGGAAGGGACTATTGATCAGCCTGTGTACTATGACAGCCAGGGACTCTGGCACTTATGGAAGTCACTCCAGACATGTGAGGCCAAGTCCTTCATTGCGTCTGTCGCACACAGAAGAAATCGAAGAGCTGGTGGCTCCCAATATCGTTCGTTGCGCCCCAATCAACTTCTCTAGATAGATCTGCTTCTGGAGCAGCCTGTAATTTGCCCGAAAGTCTCAAGAAGCAATCACCCAGTTGATCGATGTACGATAAGAAACAGGCATTTGTGGCATCATTAGCTAGTTGGGACGAGCGTTTTGTAGTCATTCAACTTGCTGGTTCAGGCCTGGTGATCCGTGACGATATGAAATACCGTGGCGAAACTAACGCCCTAGGGGGGGGGACGAGTAGGGACGAGTCCGAGTGCATGGATGAGAATTGAGTCACGTGCCTAGGACGCGTCGTTGATCAGACGCGTCTGTGGCGATTTGGGACTCCACTTTAAACCCCGCGCCCTCAACTTCAGCTGGCCACACTCCTTACTGTACTGCTCATCCACGCTCCACACGCTCGACGCCTCGTCCGACCCCGGTCCTCATCGCTCTAGCTGTAGCTTGCGCCCTTCCGATGGTCTTTGCTGCTCCAGACCCCTGTCTATGGCATCTCACCAGCCTCCACCGACGGCCGACTTGCTGCCTCAGCCAACAGTGCCAGTTCACCAGGCTGACCTGGTGGATTTGCCGTCTAACCCTAAGTTTTAAGAAATTCTTTATGCTCTTATTTTGCTTAGGGAGCTGGTAATATGGTCTTTCCATTCTGCGCTCCCACCATAAGCTTTCCGCACAGAGCATGGGGCAATTTCGAGTCTCATGACTCATTTTTTACGCGAGTACGACCGTTAGGGTTGACTCGCGCTGGTGATTTTTGCGTGGTCTTTTGTGCACCGTAGGCTGATAAGCTCATTCATTGCCCAAGGCAGTGATGCTTGGTCGAAGCCTTAAAGCACTAAAACCACATGGCTACGCAGCTAGATGGTCCGTCGGAGCGTGGAGTGCAGCGTGCAGATGCCTGGGATATAGCAGGATGTACAGGAAGGCGTGGAGTCAAGGTGACAAGCCTGTGGACCCAGGACGAAGTCAGGGTACAGGTGAGTGGAATAACTTGTGGATATGGCCTAGAAGCTCGCACGGAAGAGGGAGGCAATTATACAGTGTGGCTTGTCCTCTACTGGTATTGTCTCTCTTGCATCTGTTCAGCCGCCCCCAACTTCTGTCCTTCTACACAGGAAGGCAGAGTATGATAACCCGCTGTGCATTATTAGCCCGGTCTACCCTCGACTCCTATCATCTTCATCTCGTCCTTGATCATCATGTGATGCGTCAGGCTTGCATCAGTGCCCATCTGAGGCCTCTGTGATGACTGGATGATACTTTTGGTGGCCTTGTCATTCAGCATCTCCTGCGAAGACCTGTGACCTTGAGCTCACTTAGCTTGTCCTGTCTCTCTCTTCCTATACACTCAGAGCAAGCAGGAAGTCCTATGAATCATTGGCCATATGTTCCTTCTCCTCTAACGGAGCCCTGCAAAGGACTGTCTGTTATGACCATATTCCTCCCATTATCACCAGGGTTATGGTTCCCCTGGGAGCTGCAACAGAGCTTTGTGCTCGAGTCTGGTGATGGTGAGTGTTCAGCCACGTGGTGGCAGGGCCTGGCAGCGCAATTGGTATAGCAGGATTTGTTCCCTGGCAGTGGCCATCTGTGGGAGGCATGAGGGGATGCAGATGTGGCCATTGATGAGGACTGATGTCGTATACATACAGGAAGATGAACAGGTGAGCAGGTGAGTTTGGAGCAGCGAGCGGGACACTGAGCACAAGCAAGTTGCTTGTGAAAGGCTACTCTGGGTATCTTGAAGGGATTTTCATGCCTTAGAGATGTTTGCCTCCATCACAACAGTGTGTGATTGTGCCCTTCGCGGGTAGGGGCTTGGTAGAGGAGATGGAGCCTGAGGGAGTGGAACTGAAGCCTCGAGCACTAGGGGACACCGGAGCAGAGGCCGGCGCAAACATGTGCAGCAGCTGGCATTGTACCGGGGGAAGGTGGCATGGTCCTGCCATCTTGGAGAGTGTGCTGTCAGGTTGACGTGCAAGATAGAGTGCCTTAGCTGCGTCTCTATCCTCCGAGCGCTTCTATTGAAATAATTTTTTGCTATCTCACATCTTCGTGATGTGTTGCAACCTTGCATTCAGCTGCATTGACGGTGCGCTTCTTTTTTTAAAAACATTCTACGTAAGTTTTTTTTTTCTCTGTGCGGACAATTACAGAACGAGTAGCTATGTAAGGTACTTTGTTCTCCTAATACACCTCAGCTTCGCTTCTGGCACTGCTTCGCCATAGCATCTTCATATCCTCTGCTCGTCAAACGACCGACCGGCTTGACGTACCAATTTTGAACTGCACGAAAAATAATCAAAGCTGTGTTCTGACCACGTAGAAATTAGTTGTCGTCTGTTCAGAAATCAAAGTGACTTCGTACATCTTGTTGCACAGAGCAGAAATAATTATTGATGTTGACGTTCAGAGATAGGCGACGAGCTAGTAACGGTCTTCATGAGACAGCTCAATTGCGTACTCAACTCCACAAACGAAAACATACGATCCGTTATGTATCACTTATTCGACTTGCATCATGCTATAGCGCTGCGTGCATCGAATGGGAATGGTCTGAGGATCTCACCAAGAACAGTGCAGAGTAACATCATCTTCGTTCGCATCGCTCTGATCGAAATTGCAACTCACGAAAGCCGAACATCCAACACATCTCGCTCCAACCGCTTGCCTCTTCCGGCAACAGAGCATCAACAGTAATATGACATCGTGGCCCGATCTTATACATCTTAGCAGGGAATAGCTGATACTACGCAAACGCACCTGCCCCGACCTCAGAGGCTACCCGCGCCATTCAAGAATCACTCCTCCAACAGGAACTGGATGTGTTAGTCGACTAGCATTCGCTCCGTGTGGAGGCCTTCGCCGTACGCCATGCTCTCGAAGATGATTTGTCTCCAAATGCTAACGGTGAACTCAACCGCTTCTTCCTCCAGAACCTAGGTTTGAAGAAAAGCTCAGCAATGTCCAGCAACGACTCGGCGTAAGGTGTGAAATCAATGGCAGCAATGAGAACGCACCGGCTCAAGCCCCTCCACGAGCTTCTGTGGGCCTTTGTGGTCTTTCAAGTGCTCAAGGACGAACATCACCACATCATCATCTTCGAGCTCGCCCAGATACTTGGTCATCTGTCGCTTTACGAGCGGTTCCAGTTTGCGATCAATCATAGTCTGTCCACATTGTCAGCTTCGCAGTTCACTGACAAGCATAATAGCCCACATACGTCAGTCAAACCATCCCAACGGACCTTTGACTTGAATAGCGTCTCCTTATCGCGCGGCACAGACTCTCTGATCATTTTTAGCCGCTCTTTGGCCTTCTCACCGCCTTCAGCCAAGTCGAGTTTTGGGAAAGACACCTTCCTCTTGCGTATACCCTCTTCCTCCTCTTCCTCCTGCCCAAATTCAATAGCCTTCTTCTCTGTAGGAGCCTCTATCTTGGGCACGGTGGCGACAGTAAGTGAAACGTTGAGCTTAACAGGAGCTCCATCATCAAGTAACATGCCGGCCTTCCGCTGCTCTTCCTGAAGTGCCTGCATCTCGTCCATCTGGCGAGCGAGGAATGCCTCGGACTCGCGACGCAGGTTCTCTGCCTCCTTCTCTTCATAGACACGCGACTCGTCATCAGCCTCCTGCTCTGCAGTTAGCCTTCGTGCACGCAGGCTACGCCACCGAGGCCTGCATTTCTCGTTATTACAAGGATACCAGCATGTAACAGTGAATCTCACCTATCCGTGTAGAACAGTTCATCACTCTCGTCGTCATCCCAAATTGCCAGGCGCGATCGCATCTCCACGCGATCACGCTCCTCTGCCTCTTTGGTGGCTCGATCTCGGAGGATTGCACGTTCCAAGGCCTGGATACGAGCACGTTCTCGGGGCTCGTATCGCCGTTCACGCTACGGGCAACAGAATGAGCCAACAACATATACGCATTTTGAGCAAGAAGCTCACATCTCTGAAAGAATTCTCTTCGTCCTTCCGCCGTGCCTCTCTGCGCTCTGTCTCAAGCTCCTCATCCGTCTTCCCAATCCTGCTGGAACCCCTACTCTCTGGACCCGGGGACCCCATCTCCGACTCAGCCTTCACAAATCCCACAGGCTTGTTATACCCCTGAGCGCCCTTGCCGTATCCTTGTGTAGCTTTGGAAGCGCCCAAAGGTGAAGGAGATTCTTGCCCTGTCAGCTGTGGCTTCCCCCACTCTCGCTGCTTTGGGCCACTCGGAGCGCCCAGCACATTTGGCACGGCCTCGCGCACGTCGCGCATCTTCTCGCGTTCCCTTTTCGCTGCTCGCTCACGGAACTGTGCAATCTCGGTCATGACGAGACCGCGCTGCGTTTCAGGGAGATCGGCCTCTTGCAGATCATGCAAGTGAGGAGGTATAATGTACTTTTCCTTGTCAATAAGACCCTGGCTAGCTGCCTCCTGCGACTGTTTGTTGATGTCAGCAAGGAGCTCATCAACTTTTGCCTTCGCGTGGCACAACCTCTCTTCATCCGCCTAGTAGGCAGTTAAAATTTACACCGTTTAGACATATCATCACGCAATAACCACGTACATTTGTAGTCATCTTTTGCGCCTGGTAGGCATCCAGAAACATTCTCGTCTTCTCATCGGCCTTCACCTATTCACCCGACGTAGGTTTGTCGTGCAACAAGGGACATTGTACGGACTTACCAGCAGCTTCTTGTTCATGCATCCGTCTTCCAATGCAGGTAACTCTACACCATTGAGCAACGCCATAGCTCGCAACGCACCATCAGGATCCTGGAATTCCGCGAATCCGAATCCTTGAGGCTTATTCGCCGGTGTGATCAGACGCTTGAACGACGAAATCGGGCCACATGCCTGAAGTTCATGTCAGCACCGCGAAGTCTTTGAGAGATCATGAGCTACCGGACACCGGCTGCTCAGAGGCTCCATAAATCCTTCACAACAACTCGTGAAGTATAAAGCAGAGCCCGCGCGCCGTCTCCTTGCGCGAACAGCAGAACGCGAGTAATATGGTAGAACTTACCATCAACAATTGGTTCAAGAACGCATCGGTGATTCCACCCGATATCGACCCAATGAACAATGTAGTGGATCTCGGCTGAGGCGGTATAAATTGTTGATGATGAAGCATGTGCTGCTGCTGTGCAAGAGCCGAGATTGAGGGACCCTGGCCATATGAAGGCATAGGTGGACGAAGACCAAGTCCTAACCGATTTGGCATGGGCTGCATGGTTGACTTTTCCCTTGTATGAATGAGTACAGAAAGTACGTGGTATTGAGTGTCTTCAAATGTGTGTGCTGCGTCAAGTCACGATAGCGTAGCCGAAGAAAGCAGCAGGATGATATGAAAGCGTGCTCGTCGTTGCCTGGAAAGAGCAGCCACAGCTGCCGCCAGCGGAGCTCAAGCGGAGTCTCGGAGTCTGCCGGCTTGGTCCTCGCCCGGCGTCAGCGTCGACATCGTCGTCCTCAACCTGGTCGAACGCCCGACACCCTCTCCTCATTCCTGTGTTGTTTCCACGGAAGATATCGTTCGAAAACATGTCTGACTTCTGCCCGGTCTACGCCCCCTTCTTTGGTGCTATGGTGAGTCAGCATATGGTCGTGTCATTGGCCATACTGATGCGCGTTTCAGGGCTGTACTTCTGCTATCGTCTTCACTTGTGAGGGATCATACATACTATCAACGAACGTTCAGCGAATTTCTGACATGGTAATTGAAATGTAGGCATAGGTGCCAGGTGCGTTCAAGCGTGACTCGGTAGTGTACGCGAGACTGAGCGTGGACAACAGTTATGGAACGGCGAAGTCAGGAGTCGGCATCTCTGCCATGTCGGTTCTCCGGCCTGACCTTATGATGAAGTGTGTTATCCCCGTTATCATGGCTGGTATCATTGCTGTGAGTACCTTCAGCCCGGTGATCCTGTGAAGCTGTACCTTGACACGGCCCCAGATCTACGGTCTCGTCGTCTCGGTGTTGATCTCTTCAGACCGTGAGTAGAGTTCAAGATCCTGTTACCATAACCAGCTGAATAGCATCTAGTCGCAATGCAAATGTCGCTCTTCCAGGGTTTCGTGCAGCTCGGTGCTGGTTTATCCGTCGGTCTTGCTGGTCTCGCGGCTGGTTTCGCCATTGGCATCGTTGGTGACGCCGGTGTACGGGGAACTGCGCAGCAGCCGCGTCTATTCGTCGGCATGGTACGTATCATGAACAATCTAGTCTCTCACTGTTGTTCTGACATACTGTTGTGATGTAGATTCTCATACTGATTTTCGCTGAAGTGCTGGGTCTCTACGGTAAGACGGACTTAATTGATTGCGCTATTTTCACAATGCTTACCCCGGGACGTCATTAGGACTTATCGTTGCACTTATCATGAACTCGAAAGCCGCAGATGCAGCCGGTTTTGTATGTGGTTCACCCCCCCTCCATATAAACGGAATGCTGAGCGGATCTAACATTGTAGTGCACTGCATAAGCTGGTTTCGAAGGCAAGGCCAGAGAAAACGGGCGAAGCTAAGAGTATCTCGTACAAGGAGCTCACAGCGGACCAGCTCACCCTTCCCTTGCCAAATCTTGTATCCACACGCCTCACGACTGCATCCATAACTATGTGCGATGTGCATACCCGTTGTTTTTCTGCACCTACGGCAATTCGTTGCTTCTGGGTCCCATATGTCAACGGGCATGGCTTCTAGTAGAGAGCCACATTTATATCGACCAGGGATTTGTAGATTCTGCGCAAACATACACAGCCTCTGGCCGGGGCAGCAATCAATATTTGCAATGCACCTGAGCATCCACGCACGTTTAAACGTTTTTGAAATTGAGCTACTTTGCATGGTAAATTGTTTTGACGCTATAAGCTATTAGTAGACCACCCCCAACGCAATGTGTGCAGTGCACCGCATCGACCGTTGGTTTTCTACCACTCAACCGCTGACTCGCGGCTATGCTACGCTGCTCGCTGTTGCCTGCGTCCCTCCTTGCGCTCCTGTTTGCATTCCCGGCTTTTGCAGTGCCGTCTTCTCCCAATGACCAGTTTCGTGCAATTGCCCTGAAGGTCGTGAAGGAACCTGAACCTCCAGTGTGCTGTTTGAACCCGCTGGAACCCGTGGGGCCTCCGACAGAAGAGGATGTGCTGCTCTCATTTGATGACTGGAAAGCTAGGAGGATGGGAGAGCCGAAGGACTCAAGTGCACGGCTACCGGGTGGCGAGAGTGCAACCATCTCTGTTGCTCATGGTCCAACACAGCTTGCAGACTCCACAGTGGTGGCTGGCCAACCACACGGTATAGTCTCAAATGGTTCTCAACAAGAAATGACAGATACCAACCAGCAGGAGGAACGACTGTCTCCCCACTTCCGTATACCCATCGTCGACCGCTTTAATTATGCCGCTACGGACTGCTCTGCGCGAGTACACACCGCTCACCGCTCAGCAAAGTCCCCTTCGTCCATTTTATCGTCGAAAAAGGACAGGTACATGCTCAGCCCGTGCGCAGAGGAGAAACAGTTCGTCGTGGTCGAGCTTTGTGATGACATCATGATTGACACCGTGCAGCTCGCCAACTTTGAGTTTTTCAGTGGCGTGTTCAAGGACTTCACGGTGAGTGTTGCCAAGACGTATACGACGGATGAGGAGGGATGGATCGATGCGGGCACGTACCGCGCAGAGAACACCCGCGGGGTGCAAGTGCGTCGTTGCTTTCTCCTCGGTCTGCTAGTGTCCAACTCAACTGTATATAGTCCTTCCACCCTCCTCCGGCATTGCGGGACTTCTATCGCTTCATCCGCATAGACTTTCTCTCGCATTATGGCAACGAATATTACTGTCCGCTGTCCCTTTTCCGGGTGTACGGCCTCACACATCTCGAACAGTGGAAATGGGATGAGTGGGAAGCGCAGAGCCATGCAAGGCATGCTGCTGAGGAGGCTAGTGCATCTATGGAGATGGCTGTGGCGCCTCCGCAAATTGCCCACGCAGCGGTTGTCGAGCCTGTCCTGCCACCCAAAGTAGCAGAGAAGGCACAGTCGTCCACCACAGCACAGGCTACGCAGACGCCGTATGCATCTGCCACAGTCACGCCAGCTGAGGTCACCTCGAGCAACGTTTTCGCTCCCTCTCCTAGTCCTTCCATCTCGGAGGCCGCAAAGACAGTGCGAGGATCCACCAGTGAGGAACCTGACCAAGAAAGTACCCTTTCCTACTACATTGAAATCAACACGGCCTCTTCACGCGCACATGAAGCGGCAACAGCAGACTCCCCTGCAGAAACGACCTCTGACGACAATAACTTATCTTCCAAGATTGATATACCACTTGATGAAGAAAATCATTCTTCTGCAAATACCTTGTACAACACAACAGGTCTTTCTACGGCTACTCAACTCTTTCCCAGCCCCGTCCCGTCCATGGATCAAGCAAATCCATCCTCCGTGCAAGATTCTAGCGACACAATCAAAGTATCATCTGAATCACCTCCCATGACATCATCCATCCGTCTGACGACGTCCTCTTCAAACTCTGTCGTGTCTCCCTCGATTGTATCAGCCAGCCTTGCACAACCATTCTCTCCGCCAGCACCGCAAGTCCCGACAGGCGGCGAGTCAATCTATCGGACGATCATGAACCGGCTCACCGCGCTCGAGGGCAATACTACTCTCTATGCGAGATATGTCGAGGAGCAGACCGCCGGCATGCGAGAGATCTTGAGGCGTCTTGGCGAGGATGTCGGGCGGCTGGAGGGTATCGTACGTCTCATCGAGGTGTCCTTATACGATTGCAAATGACGAGCCATATTTGATAGGGCAAGGCTCAAGCGCAGATGTACCAGCGGTCAATATCTGAGTTCGATAGACACAGACGGCGGTTGGAGCTCGAGCACCGGGAGCTACTCTCCCGAGTGAACCGCCTCACCGACGAGGTACGAGTAATACAACGTAGCACCAATATTTTCTGAATTCTTCCCGTAGGTCGTGCTCGAAAAGCGGCTGGGTATCGCACAGCTGTGCCTTCTGCTTGCAATCATGGTCTTTATCACGTTGACACGTGGCTCCCGAGGCGAGCTCCACCGGATACCTGCCCTCGGGCGGCCACTCAATATGCGGGACTGGGGCAGGCGGACGCTGAGCTTGAGCCTCAGTGGGGACTGGGTGAGCAAGTTCCGGAGCCCCAGCCCGACGGTCAAGTCGGTAGCTCAGTCCACCAATCATCCTCCAGAGAAGAAGCCAAGTGCGATGTTCGCTAATGACCAGAAGTGCGTGAAAACTCACAACGCGGGATCAGTCCACGTCGAGTTTCCCTCGCAGGAGGTGCAGGTCCCTGAGTCTCCTTCGCCTCTGCGCCACCGCCGCAAGTTGCACCCACGCCCACACACGCCATCGTCATTGCGAGTGTCCACAGGCCGTCATCAAAATCTGCACATGTACACACGCCCGACGCCCTTCAACGCCATGACAAGGCCGTTGCTCACACGCTCCAGCTCCGGAGGCGTAGATCTCACCGGGCCAGTGCCACGATCGGCGAAACGGTGGGCTCGAAGCGCACATCTGCACGAGGTGAAGAGCGCAGGGCCGGTTTTGAGTGCAAGGCGCGAGGCGGGCGATCTTAAGCCTCTCATGCCCGTCGACGTGTTCAGTGCCCCGGCCGGGCCCATGCACTCAAAGGCAAAGGGTAAGGTGCGGTCGCGGGATGCAGATGCTCGCTACGCGTTGTCGCCGCTGCGATTCTCGAGTTCACGCGAGCTGCCAGGGGGATGCGTGCGGAGCGAGTCGTCGACAGAGGGCGGCGCGAGCGAGGGAGAAGGCGAGGGCGAGGGCGAGGGCGAGGGCTGGATGGATATGGACTCTGACTCAGAATAATTGGATGCGGGGCATGACCGTGAACAGACAGCGAACTGATGATTTTGATCTTTCCTGTACGCTTCTTGACGCAGTGCTCTCTCGGATTCCCATCTTTCCCGAGACTTTTCGAGACAGATCTCCTTCGTTGGTTTCATTCGTGATCGCTAGAAGAAGTATGGGTATTTCTTCATTCCTTGCAGACTCCAAATCCACAAAGGTTACACAAATTCGAACTGTAGTGTCTCGCCGCTCGACACTCAGTGGCTGCGGGTTCGATTGACAAAAGCATATTGTAAGAATTTAACAATCCGAGATGCTTAGTCTTGGATGATAGCAAAAAGAGCAATCTCTATGATTCATCAAAGGATGAATGCTGCTTGTCGAGGGGCCGCTTACTTCACGAAGATCCAGTAGACAATTTTTCGTGACGTCCCGACAAGCAAGTCTTTTGAACGAATCACACTACATGTAGTGTCCATACAAAGCATATTTCTTCAAGGCGACAGCAGCATCTGAAGCGCCTCAGATCTAGGAGTACACATCAGATTTCTTTCTTCTTCACCGTTTGCCACTGTGTGGCATCTACTCCAACTGCGCAAGACCCTCGCGAAGGTATTCTTCAAAGAGCGCCTTGTAATCTTTGTGCCATCTGCTGAGCGCGGGGCGGCCCTCGACGATGTCGCCGGTAGACCAGAGGATGCGCAGCTGGTCGACCTCCCGACGCGTCTCGTTGTCCGGCACGAGGACATAGAACTTGCCCTGGCGCACTTTGTCGAGCTGGTGTCGGGCAAGATGTCAGAGTTGTGCACGAGTACGAGACAGAAATGGCGCTTCTATATCGAAGCGATCTTGCGCACCATGTAGAGCACCGTCTCCTGCGCGGTCCAAGCGCCGGCAGGCTTCTCTGCAGCCTCAGCGGCACCTGTCATGCCGGTCCATGTCCATCCGGGGCTGTACGTACGGAACGGTCAGCAGATGCACGGATAGGCACATCTCGTACGTACACGAACAGATGGGCGGTCAGGTTTGCGTGCGGATGATTACGCAGTTCGTGCGCTAGACTTTCCGTCATGGACTTGACAGCGGCCTTGGACGCATTGTAGGCTGCGTTGCCCCTGGAAAGCACATGAGTGGGAGATGGGGCGGTGTGGGGCAAAGCGTACGCACGGAGGATTGGTGATGCCCTGCTTGGAGCCAGTGTTAATGACCATGCCAGGGTTCTCCTGGTATATCATGGATGGCACGAACGTCTGCTGGACGTTGAGCACGCTGGAAAGGCGTTAGCGGGAGGTACAAACAACAGTCTCCGGACGGACGCACCCAAACACATTGACGTCGAAAATCTTGTGCCAGACATCAAGACCCTCCCAGGACGTTCCCCGTGGGCCGATGCCGGCGTTGTTCATGAGAACACCGACCTGCGCATCGTCAGAAGCCAGCAGCGCCGGCGCGTGCGCGGCAGCTAGCTCACCTCACCCCAGGCCTCGTAGACTTTGTCACGAAGGCGAACGACCTCGTCGAGCTTGCTCACGTCGGTCGGGACGACGAGCACGTTCGTCTCGCCGATGATCTTCGCAACCTCGTCTCCAGTCTCGCGCAACTGCTTCTCGTTGACGTCCGCGACGGCGATCTTCAAACCGATCCTGCAATTTGTGTAGCGATAGCTATTGGTGAGTCCGGGAGATGCTCACTTTGCGAGTTCGACTGCAGCAGCTCGCCCTATCCCACTGCCAGCGCCGGTGATTACGGCGACCCTGCCGGGATGAATGACCGGGTGGACGTCTCGATCCGTGGGCGACATTGGGGTATCGAGTGCAAAAGACGATGTCGGGCGAAGTGGAGAGGGGCGACGGCTAGAGCCGTTGACGCTGAGACTGCGAGTCATTATATTGTCCTAAGTGCTCGTCCAGAAGATTCAAAAGGATAAGACAGTGGAAACAGCGTAGAGGGGGAGCGGGAGGAGGTTGGAAGACAAGGACTCCCACCCAGATATAATGCGATCAATTGGAGCCATGCTTCGGAGAGCCAACGCTGCGCACACCGCAGACATGAAGCGATTTGCGCATGTGGCAAATGCTTAGCAAATGTCGACAGGTTTTTTGCCTTTGTGATCTCAATTTGCTACGGTTCCGTCCCACATTCCGTATTAAGTATTTGCATATAATATGTTGGAGGCAGAAATTTAATATCATATATTTAAGAAATGACACCATTTTCAAACTCACCAAATACATTTAGAATTTGAGTGCTGTTGAATGTAATCATACATTTTTGAATTTCAAACTATGACATGTATAAAATATCCAGTAGCAGATGAAGGTGTGATTATGCCTACATTCTACTTCCCTACTGAAGTCATTCTAGCCAAGATTACTAGAATGAAAGTCATTCACCGTAATTACACCTTCATCTGCTACTGGATATTTTATACATGTCATAGTTTGAAATTCAAAAATGTATGATTACATTCAACAGCGCTCAAATTCTAAATGTATTTGATGAGTTTGAAAATGGTGTCATTTCTTAAAATATATGATTTTAAATTTCTGCCTCTAACATATTATTATGCAAATACTTAATATGGAATGTGGGAAGGAACTGTAGCAAATTGAGATCACAAAGGCAAAAAACCTGTCGACATTTGCTATGCATTTGCCACATGCGCAAATTGCTTCATGTCTGCAGTGTATAGAGACAGTCAAGTAAGGAACAGTGCCGACTGAAGCGCCCAGTCAACAATACGGTCACATGCTCAATGCAGCACAAGGCCTAGACGTCCGGGGCTTCGCGCTGCGCACGTTCCTTTCACGGTGGTGAGAGGTGGCTGCAATGAGATACCGTGGCCTGAGATCAATCAAATATCATATAACAATTCTCATTCTCAGATTGACAGAAATGAGCAATCAATACTGTGCAATTGTGGCATCAGATGGCGCCTACTAGTAGTGCAGCAGTCCTCCAATATACAACCAATCAGATTGCCAGGGACATTTATAGATATGAATGTTGAGATTCCCTCTGCCCATGCTGCTCTGACTCAAAGCAATTGCTCCGTATATACCATGCAAGTCAGCTCACATTCACTAGCGACTGCCAAGCATTTACCCTTCCTCTATGCCACCACACCCATGGATCTTGAACCGCAACCACCATCTCCTTCCGCTAGCGCCAGGGGCTCGCCCTCCTCGTCAACGGAACTCGTGCACACAGACTTCACTCCCAAACTTACATTAGCTGTACGACAGGCCTTGCAGCCATGCATCAGCAAAAAGCGCACACCAATATATTGTATTGGGTGAAATTGTAACCGTAAACGAGATGGCTTAGACTTAACAAGGCTTACAATCAATTGCATTGCCGAGCAATTACATACAATGAAGGTGATCGATTTTATTTAGTCATCGGAAGGTATGAGGCATTGTATGCGAATGCAGATCATTGCCGACATTTTGAGTCAATCCATTCACAATATAATACGAGACATACATGCCGCTGTTAGAATTTAATTCAATGAATGAAAGCAGCCTGCCAGGATCTTACGGTGCCGCTCACTGAAGTTGCGCATATGAATCACATCCTAATGAGTACATCACAACATGGCAAAACCGTAAGCCGCATACAAATCCTCTATGTCGCCATCCTCCCCATCCTCGAGGCCGAGATCCTCCTGCTCAGGCTCGTTTTCCCACTGCGTCGCTTCTCCTACTACATCTTCAGGTTCGGGATTGGTCGCTCCATATCCATAGTCGTCTTCTTCATCACAAATACTACCCTCATCCAACTCCCACTCTTCCTCATTCTCTGCTTTGCTGTGGCGATCACCATCTTCCTCGTCTTCACTCGGTGTTGTACTCCATGGTGGCTCTACTATTTCAGTGCAATGAGCATCATGATTCATCTTCGGCAACCAAGTTAGCAGCTAACTCACCTGTCAATCCATGCTTTAGTGCCACAGCAAGCTCCAAGTCGGAGGGCGCAGGTGCAACACCTTTATGTCCGACACCTCCTCCGAGATGTCGCATAAACATGTCACGATCAACATGTCTAGATTGTATAGAGTGTCAATCAGTTCATAGAATATATAAATGAAGTACGCACATGTTGACATAGTAATTCACGTAATCCATATCTTTGCAGCTTGGTTGCCATACCAAAGACTTGGGTAGAAGGCTGTCTGTCTTGCCATATGCAAATGCCGGAATAAGATGAGCGCCGTGCAACACCTCATTTGGGTCGACGAAGCCGAACGGCATGGCTTCATGATGATGTACGAAACCAACACGAGGAAGGCGGTGATGGGAAAGGCCCAGTGCATCAGGATCCACCCCAAGCCATCGCACCCATAAGACATCCATTCGCTGAGGCCGAAATGACGTCGAGTGGATGCCTCTGTGAATAACATCAAAATGAAATATGCCGACGACTTGAGCATACCAATATGGATGTCTGTCTGGACTACCATCTTCCCTCTCATCATCATCCTCATGTGCCAAGAGCATGATGAAGGGGTGAGTACGTGGGTTGATCGAGTCCTGTGCGCGTCGAATGTCATATGTAGTATAGTTCACGTGCAAGACCTTGTAAAAATGTATGCGATCGCTTTCAAAGCGCAGCACGTCATGCTCGACCACTGTGAAGGCATTCTCATCCCCATCGTAGGGACGACCGGTGAGACGTGAGAGTAGATGGTCCTTGAGGTGCGGTAGGAAATCCTAAACGCTTATTAATATATATGTGACAAAAAATCAGCGTAGTACATACCTTAAATACAGGATCATCCCTGTTTGCTCGAAGCCATCGCCCGATATCTTTACCGTAAGGCGCACGCTTTGACATATGATATTTGTCTTCTGGTGGCGTGTAGAATGGCAGTGAATCTGTCATAGAGAAATTCAAAGTTGCCGCACCACTGAGGATTGGCTCGCCTGCACTCGTGAGCCCTGGAGCTGGAGTTCCTATGCCACTACCATCCACAAGTCCTGCATCCATAGCCTGAATAGTACAGTTGCGATCAAGAAAGCGCTGACGAATTTGGCGAAGAATGCGTGAGCGTCGCTCCTGTTTGGCGATTTGACTGACATGGCCATTTTTATTGGTGCGCACATAAAATCCCTTGACACGTCTATGCTCAAGCTCACCCTAGTGTCGCATATCAGTCACATTAATAACACTGTCGTAGTGGCACAGACTCACAGTTTGCGTTGTGTAGTTATCGGTAGTGCCATATGACTTAATCGCTTCTACATAGTCTATGAGAGCGTGCCATTTATACGTTTTGAGATTCAGTCGCTTGATATTGCGTGCCACAGGTGCACCTGTGCTCACTTCCTTCACCTTGCCTTTCGTCGCTGGCTGAGACTTTGTCGTTGATGTGTGATGACCATCCCTAGTTCGCTTGACAGCAGTTCGGCGTCCCCTCGCGGCCTCCTCCTTTGGAAGTTCCAGAGTGATGTAATCTTCACATGTTTCGTGCAAAAATTGACATGCAGCGCGACAAAGTGATGTTGTTACTTGCTCAAAAATATTGATTGTTCTGGTCGTATGAAGCCTCAATTTGGCAAGCGCATGCCAAGTGGCGAGGTAGAAGACAAGATCCATAACAATGTCATGGTGTGGAGCAGGGAGAAGGAGGTCGAGCACTGGCATTATGCACTGCCATAAAGCAAATGGTCTGTTAATTTCAAGCGCATAAGATAGTGAGTATTCATACCTGAAGAATATCCTCATAATCCCTGGCAGCCAGTTTCTTCATTGCTGAGACATTAACGTCAAAGCGGCGAATTGTATCTCGGCCAAACGTTGGAACTTTGCGAAACCTAGATTTAGAAATACAAGTTATGAGCGAGTATATAGAAAGTGATATAAAGATTACGCGCAAACGTACCACTTGTTGAACGTCTGAATGCGATCATGGCCTTCGGCATACAAAATTCGAAGCAGGTGCGTGAAGATGGCTTTCCATACACCAAGCTCAAACTCATGCATAAGATCTGGCACAAGCATCGCATAATGGTTGAAACCGAAGCTGGCGAGCCTGTCCGAAAATGCGCTCTGAAAAATGAAACTAAGGCATTCAAATATGACAAGTCTGACAAATTGACGTACCCGTGTCGTAACCAAAGATTTTGGATTCAAGAGGTGGGAGATCGTCTTGCTATTTAATGCTATACCCTTCTGGAACACCCATGCTCTAGTGCGCTCGATGATGCCATGCATGCTTGAGTTATCAGTGCGAGCGTGAGCACGGCGGTGCATTTCCACTTCAGAGCCCATCTGAGCAATATCGTTCTTCAGGATGAGGCAGCGAGGGCAGGGACACCGTGCCAGATAACGGATACATGCAATTAAAACTCTGCATGCATGCATGTCAGTGTGTTTTTAGTGCTACCAGGTGAGAACTCACTTTTCAGGGTAGTCGGCTGAATATGTAAAGAATCGTGGAAACAGATGACGTAGAATGCCATCGCCACATCGTAGAAGGATGCCGTGTTCGTATGCATGCATGAACTCTGGATCAAGGATAAGCGTCCATATTTTATGAAATAGTTCACGTTTGCAGAACCGAAGTACATCCGCGGTGGCAGCAGTGTCGTAGAGCTTCTGATAAACATCTTGAATGATATGTGGCAGCTGGAAAACAATTATGGTCAGTTTTGCAGTATAGTGAATGCGATATCATAGCTACATTTACGTACGGAAGGAATATATGCCAGATGGTTGGCCATGAACGCATTTGGTTTTGCTCGTACATATTTTGAAATAAAGCCAAAGAATGCATAGATGGGCCATAACGCAGCAGAGCCGAACTGCGCCAGGTGAGTAGAATCGGACCACAGCATGATAGGAACAATGGCGATCTCGACGTCTTCAGGATCATCAGGATTGCGTGACTGTGCCAGAATCTTCTTGTATTCGTCCAGCATTGCATCTGAGTTATAGAGCTCTGAATATATGCGAATATCTTCATGTTCGTTGTCAGATTCTTTGGAGTTGGTGTGATCGGATTGTCGCCAGAAGGATTTGAAAGGGATTCAGTTGTGCGATTTAGCTTCTGGATCTTCACACGTCGTCTTGATGATTTGTAGAAGATTGCGCAGATATATGCCAGATACCTTGAAATGAGGGCATTGCTCTTCAGAGTCAAACTGTGTCTGTTCCTTCGGCAAAGGTATCTCAACAGTCTCCTCACGCCAGCCATCAGCATCCAAGAATGGCCTGCTTGCTTCGGCGTCATCAAGGTTATCAAGATGTTTCCACTCCTGAGTAATAGAGACATCAGAAGCGCCTCAGGGTCAAAATCGGGTGCAAGAATAACATCGTCGACAAGGCGTTTGATTTCAGCGAGAGACTTGAGATTGGAGCCTGAGTGTGCCCAATCCATGATTCGAAAAACTGAGACATTCAGAAATGGATAGACAACATTATCTTTGACCTTGTGAAGCATGGCGCAGGCCTGCTTGGTTGCAGTATATTCAAAAACACGAAGAGAATGGCCAGAAGGTACAGAGTGTGTCCGTTGAAGAGTTGGCATGTCAGAAGCATCATCTAGAGTAGGAGTGTCTTGGACAATGGTCTTTGGCTTAATGAGATATCTGCGGAACATCCCAAAGTGATCCGGCTGCGTCTCATAGAGGTTGAGTGTCGATTCATCGGAATCAATGGCATTATCGGGGGCAGTATGAAGACTCTGAGAAGAATGAGATGGTTGAGGGCTCGGAGTTCTGCATGGAGACTGGGGAATGTGGAGGGAAAGGCCTTCAGATGTCGTGGACAAGTAATCTTGTAGAGCCTTTGGCATCCATCGCTTGCGACCACTCCTGCCGATGGAATACTGTTCTGTATGCAATCCCGAGGGACCAGCCTGATTCTCAGATGTGTTCGAAGGTATATTATGGGTGTAAGTGCTCTATGACATAGCGAGATTGGCATAGTTAAGATACCAAGTCAGTGAAATCGAACATATTTGCGCACCTCATTCAATAAGCTTCACAACTCTTCCCTCTCTGCTACTATATCCTGCCCACCATCTATGCATGCCAGCTTAGCTGCTACACACCCTTGTGCACCATCCTGACGCTTTTTGACAGATGTGGCAAAACCTGTGCCTCGTTTGAGGCAGCGTGAAGCATGAACCTTTACAGCATGCTGAGTTGCGAAGTCACGTCCACAGTCAGAGCATCGAACCATAACCCAGAGATTTATAAGCAGCAGCAGAAATATGGCCGATCGCATAGTCACACTTGAGACGGGGACATAGAGTAATGTGAGACTCGCTGCGCCAGCTGACGCAGCTGTGGCGTAGTTGCACGTTCATCACGTGAGCGCTTCAGATAAGAAGCCCACTGCTATTGCACGATGAAACCTCAGCCTCTTGCTTGCCAACGCTCACCATCTGCTTTCACGTACCTTTCGTTTACTTTGCTTTTCACTCTATTGGATCTTATGGCGAAGAAAGGTGACGGCGGGACTTCTGGCGGTCACGGAGCTCGGGTCGTAAGCGAAATAGCGACCACTTAGGCAGCACATGCAGCGGCAACTCCATACCTTCTCGCATTCTGTCGTCAGGTTCAAGTGGCACCGCAACTCGGCCACAACCTCGACCGGCATATACACAGCAAGGGCGCGACTCTCAGCAATATTCAGATGAAGAGCACAACTGCCCACCTTGCAAGCGAGCTAGAATGTACGTCTAACAGCATCGATATCACGAAATTAAATATCCATTGCCACTCACATACACCAGGCGACGCATAAATGTTATACCAGACAGTGACTCGGAATCAACGTGTGAACAAGAAGAAGTGGCAGGAGCTCATTCGCGTGACAGAACAACAAGCTCTTCACGAGCAATGGGTTGCCATCATGGGCGAAGCAGTACAGTCGAGGATCAGCAAGTGGAAGAGATAGAGGATGAAGATGATTCGCAGCTCACTGTAACATTGGCCGAATTTCGATCCATGATTGCTGACATGGATGCGAAGGTGGGGCGAGAGTCACAGGAGAATAGGTAATGTCATTTTCGCTTCTTGACGCGTTACTGACATCGGTTGCTACAGAAGCTGCCTAAAACTGTATCAGAAGTCAGGTCGGTGGATTCAACGCACTATTGGCCCCTTTGTGAACGTCTACATGATGTTGCAAGTGGGAGTTGCGTGCAACGGCATCCCCGAAAACGATTGGCTAATTGACGAATGGGAACTGTGAGTTATCCCTAACAAATATATTCTCCTTCGAGCGCATATATGTGCTAGAGTAGTGCATACATGTACTGGATTAGCGCATATGTGTGCAAATTAGTGCATATATGCGCTTATCATAGTTCATTAGTACTGATTTTCAGCACAGGACACTTGACGAAGCACGAAACTATGTAGAAGAATACCGCATATTGTTGGGGTTCTCACCTTGTCTCAAAGCACAGCTCCTGTTCTTGGAGCCTGACCCTTCCGCGCTATTTGACATCTCTACATACGTCAAGTTTATTCACTGTATTCGACATGGTTCGGTGATGATGCTAATGCCTATGCATTCTAACTAGCTGGACAGGGCTTCACGTGCAGCAAGAGGCGACGACCTGAACAAGGTTAAGAGCAACATTCTGAAGTACATTCCCAAGATCGACACACCTATGCTACAGATCGAAGACATTCTGGCTGGGCAGCGGAAGGAACAACGTGGCTTTGAGCACGTTGCTGCTGGGCGACTGCTGGTGCCTCGTTGCTATCGTGACGAGTTTGACAAAAACCCGGATGAGTGAGTACCGTGATGCTATATGTTGCTTCCGTAACACTTCGTCTTGTCTCACCAGATGGTGCCGACGTTATCGAGCACAGCAGATAGAGATTACTGCCGGTGACTTACCATCATTCATGTATCCTGAGTCTGGCTTTGATGTACAAAACCCCACCGAAAACTTGCTCCAGTCTACTTTCCTCGTCGCCGTAAGATTTTTCTTTTGTCATCTTGATATTGCTGAAATTCCGCTTGACAGATCTTTCGCGTGATCTTCAAAGGTCCCAGCGCAGGAAGCAGTGGCATGACAGAGAAGAAAGGTGGACGTCCACCTCTCTACATCAAATATAACATGCGTGAAGTGCATCCGTGGCAGATTGCATATACATGCGTGATTGTAAGTCGTTCACATTTTTGCCAAAGGGATGAACAAGTGCCTGGATATAATGGTTTCGTACCAGACACGCTTCACACTCAACTCGCAGAGTGTTTGGCAGAACTACGACGGCGAGTTCAATGTCCCACATTTCTTCAACATGATTATACAACTCTTTGATGACAAGGAATGAGCTAAGACGACCTTGGCATGGTGGAACAGGTGCACGAGTCATACATATGGCTTTATTGTACTAATATATCACATAGGGAGGTGTTTTCTATCCAGAGCAAGGAGTTTGCACCCAATGGCGAGCGCGTTGTCAAGCGAGCAGGGCCATCAACGTTCGAGCTTATCATGCGAAGCCGCGATCGACTGGAGACTCAGAGGACCGTTGCCATGCGGCCAACATCTGGAGCGCAAGGCTCTAGCACGTCAGACTTGGAGTCTCAAGCAGGAGACAATCCATCCCATCGCACGGCGACTCCTAACAACAGCTGTAACGATCCAGCCCAGGAATGATTTGAGGACGATGTGGAGATACCTTCTAGGGCTGTCAACTGGAGTGCGCCTGATCAAGAAGATAACGAGAGTGACGTGGAAGTCACAGAATGATGCCAGGTCTCGGCGATAATCACACGGTGTCTTGGACCAACATGGTAGGACTTGTATGCGGTTACTTTGTACTCTCTTGTTGTGTTGCGCTTATGGAATGGTCACAATGGAGCCTCCGGACTGTACTGTAATGGCGAATAGCAAATAATCTGTTATAACCGTATTTTATTCATTGAGTCAAGGTTTACATTGCTGCATAGTGCCCATATAAACTCCCAGCCAATGCGACGAATAATTGCGTCTGAATTATAATCGCTTCACATAGTCCCTGAGATATTTGAAAGCTCTCGACGAACACGATATGCAATTATAATTGATTGAGAACCTCTCAACCGTCCTGACAATGAATTGTGCATTCCATGACCGGCCCGATAGGCCATTGTATGTGTTCGACGAGTGATTACATTGACTCACAGACTCAATATATGCCCGCTCAACTGGTCAACACTATTGTGTCAATTAAAATTACTGTGTCCAATATATAACATGTTATTCATATATATGGCGACGCGCTTTTTGCTGATGTGGCAAGCTCAGGGACCCTCTGAGCTGCTCAGTGACATCAACTCTCTGATCGATGCCTCATTTGCGGTTCACCAGGCAATCACTCGTGTCCTCACCAATGCCCATAGGGAGACTCACGATACACCGAGCCTGGGCGTTCTACACAAGCGGCGTCTCAAAGCTGCCTTGGCAAAATTCTAACCCCCACCACCCCCCTTCCGAGTCGACGTTGTCGATGATCCCACTGTTCGCATCGCTCGCCCCCACCTTCAGACACCTCCTGCTGGACCGGATCTCAACCAGTCCATACAGGACCTTCGCTCCGCCCTCAACGCCAGGCTTGATGCCTTGGAGACTCGAATGGCGACTATGACCCCCCCATCGCAGGTGAAGGCCCCACCTCCTCCCAAACCTCAGATACGTGCTACTCCCAAGAAGCGCTCGTACATGGCGGCAGCCGCCCCTTCTCGTCCGGCTCCTCCCGTGACGACTCCGAACCCACCTGCTCCCCCGAAGGCTCCTGGGCCCAAGCGCGCCCCGGAGCCCCTGCGGTACGTGGTTCGTTTTGCTGGCCCTGCGCCAGCGCATCTTCTTCAGACACCCCCCGTCCAACTTGTCAGCGATGTGAACGCAGCACTGGCTGCAGTTCCGACTGCTGGAGGACTGACTGCACTCGCAGCCTACCCAAGCTCCTCTGGCAACATCGTCCTGGCCTTTTCCGCCACCACATCCTACCGCCGCATTGACGAACACCTCCCGACCATCCGTACCAGGTGTGAGTGTCATAACGATAAATCACGTAGCTGAGACTGCAGCCAAAGGCCTGTTGTATCGATTCCTGTGAACACAGCACGGCCACGATACATCACATTGATACATCAGGGAGTGCTGTGATGAAATCATTTCAAAGATGACGCACCACTGTAATGCATCATAGCGATGCATCGCAGATCGCTCTAATGCATCATTTTTTTAAACTTCGCAGCGGTCCTGATATATCGCTTTGGCTGTAAAGTATCGTGTGATGCATCAACTTGGTGTGCTGTAATGGATTATAATAATGCATTGCAGTGCACTGTAAAGCATCTTACCTAGTAGCGCCCTGCATTATATGATACATCGCGTATTGAGCTTCTGTCGCGGGCTGAAATCGTGTTCCGGCGCACGGGGATCCGGCCGTTGACACGTCAGCTCTGAAAGAAATTGTTGCGCTCGAGCTTCTGCGAGCGTTTGTCGATCACCTTCACAAAAGCGATGGCGCATCATCCCTCTTTTTGGATTGGCGCCACGTGCAGGGAATAAATCATATTACAAAATTGGAACCACACGGATCTCTCACCGACGGCCCATTTTTGAACACAAACAGGCCGTCGCTTGCTCATGCCGCCTCATGTCAATGAAGTTGCTTGTGGCTGTTGAAAATTGACTCATGATACTTGAGTCATGGAAAGTGAAATCCGACTTATATATGCATAATATATATATATATACCGGTCATGAGGATGAGATGTCTCCGGGTCTCCTCTCTATGCTGCGATTGTTTGCCAGTGTAGGCCATGTATTTCACACATTGCAAAATAAGAAGGGATAATATAGCGATAGCGAAGGTGTTCGGAAACGTCGACTTTCTGATGTTGTGGCCCATAAGCGCCTAAGCGCGGTACCCATCCATTGCTAAGTCAAGTTTCGCATTCTCTAACCATTCATCATACCATCACATATGTTTGTGGAATTGTAACAATATAATTCATTTGCTACAACGACCATTACGGCTGCCTACGCTCATCTTTTCAGATAAACTGAACATGCAAAAACACGATTTTATGAGAAAGCTAAATCGACGACAATCGATACCAAGAACACATGGGCCAACTGCCCTGATAGATAAGCATATTGCACCAAATATTATAGTTCATCAAGACGAAGTGGATCGACAAGAATGTCCGTTGCATGCCAAGAAGAACAGAAGAAATACTTACAACACCACCATAGTGAACACGAACAAGAAAACCCACACTACAACCTCAGTCCGAATACTACGTCCTCATCTTCTTATTCCTCCCACCTCTGCGGTGCGTCGTTTGAGCCGTAGCTTGACGTTTCTGGCCAACGTCGGTCATTCCGCTCTCCTTCTCGTTAGTGCGCTGGTTTTTCTCTCTCTCTACCTGCTTAGCTTTACTCAGAGCTAATTTCTGCTGCTTCGAAGGTGGCGTGGCGTCCGGTCATGCGGGTTTCTTTTTCTGACGTCTTGGGCGGCTGGGGGCATCAGAGTTAGCATGGGGATGGTTGGCAGTCACAGGGGAAGGCACTGCGGGGGTAGCGGCATCGACTTGCTGCTCGCATGACACCTGCACAGATGATGCAGTCGCATCAAGGCTGATGGAGATGTCCACCTGAGACTCTGAGGTGGAAGCTGGAATCTGCATCGCCGGAGATGCAGCAGCTGGAATGATCGGTACTGACAAGGGCGAAAGCGACGACAGCAGAAGATTTGTGGGAAATGAGACTGTACTGGACCCTGCAGATAAGCCTGGGGTGGCTGGTGCCTGTATGAGCGAGGCATTGTCAATTGCCGAGGTTGCAACCGTTGGAGGCGGAAACAGGGGCACTTGCAGTATTTCGGTGTGTGAGAAGTTTGTGAAGTCGAAATTGAAGTTGACGTCGTAGGCGTTGTCGAGGTCTATATTTGTCATCTCCATAAGCATACCATTGCAATTTGCTGACGTCCACGGTGCCACCGACTGTTGATTCCAGTAGCGCACATGATAGGCTTGGGCCTGCTCAGTAGTAGGATGAGCATGTGGTGGGCCCTGCAGCATTGCTGTGGAAGCAGAAGGGATTTGTGCAGGAGCAGCGTAGTTGGTACTCGGAGTGACTGAGGACACCGTCATCAACAGATGAGAAGGCATGACCTCTTCGAGACCCAGTGCGTTAGATGCCGGCGGAGGCATGTCAACCTGAGCAACAGAGGGAACTGAAATGGGGTGCTGCACTGAGAATGTCGTACGATCTGATTCTTCCATCAGCGGGAACGAAATCGCAGGGTTTACGGAAGTGGCAGTCTCATCGCCCGATAAGGCTGCAGACTCCTCGAGCTGAGTTATGCCATCATTTTCCGCTGACTCGTGGTTGCCATCTTCATCTGACATAGGGGCAGTGTCCAGGTCAGCATCCATGTCGAGTTCTATATCATCCAGGACCTGCTGTGAGTCATTTCCATCGAGCTGAGAGAGGCGATCATCGTTCAGCTCGCTTTGGACATCCTCCTCCTCATCCGGATCATCAGCCGATGCATGCAGTGCGAAGGTTGCTCGAACCTCAGCCGCTTTAGATAATCAGCTTCTCGCATCAGTGTCTTTGACGGCAAGTGGACATGCACTCACGGTAAACCACATTGAGGAACTCGATATAAGGTTTGATAACCTGATTCTTGAAGTCGGATTGGACGTCTCCAAAGTGGTGGCCGACAGCTGTCTTCCCGTGATGGTAACTAAGCATGATATATCAGCGCACATTTCATAAATCAGGATAACGAACATACGAAAATGTCCTGATATCTCCGTCTTCCTCAGGGCAAGGCCCACCGCCAATGATGCTGAAAGACCATCCAGTCTTCTCTGCGAGTTCTTCGAGAAGCTTCCTCACCATGGAGGGAAGGAATTCGAGCATGCTGGATATGAGAATTAGAAGCGAAGTCGAGAACAGTACAAAACATACTGTTGCCGCGCTGCAGGCATGGGCATAACCCCCAATCCTTCACCATCCTCATCGCGAACATCAAGCTGTGCTTCAAATTCGGCTTGAATCTCGGCTTTGATGGTGTCATCTTCTTCGGCAAACGCTTTGTCTGTCAGTGACTTGATGACAGCGAGTGTCTGTTTTGGCCCGAGTGACTGTTCTGCGATGGCCTTCTTGACAGAAGGTCGGACCTTAGTGTCATAGTACTTCCGAGAGTAGAGTTCCACAAGTTTAAGTCAGTGTCGACCAATCGGCTTCATTGCGCCACTGAGGCTCACGTCAAAGCTGCCAGGGAATTTCCCTCCATCGTGACGCCGAGCCTTGGCAGATCTGTTTCGAAACCAGGAGCGCAGTTGCTGTTCGCATTGTGTGCATGTCAGCTAAGGTAAAAATTGTGATATAGACAGCAGTGCTTACAATTTTACGATCCTTAATCGCCGTAGTGTACTGTGCATCCTGTTCGCTAGTCAAATTGGCTATCTCACCAAACAACTTCTTGCGCTCAGAGAAGAGTTGGAACCACTCGTGATCCAGCTCGACCCAGAACTTCCGTAGACTCCTGGTCTTCTGACTCTTGAGATAGCCGCCATACTTCTTCTCGAGGAAGTCGCACTCCTCATTTGTTGTCCAACGTCGAGCGGGCATGCTGTCGGATCTGAGAAGAAGAGGCATGCGAGTACAAGCAAGCTGCAGGAGAGGACAATGATACATTACGGGTGCGCCACGATGCATCGCCATGCTGTTGCCGCTCTTTTATCTTCGCATTCCCAAGCCAATCAAACAGTGTTGCGAACACTGGCGATGACATCCGAACAGTGGCCACAAATGAAAAGAGCAAGCACGAGGCACGAGCCAATGAATAACTTGTGCTCACGAGTGGCCTGATAGGCTATTAAAGTAGGTCATCTGGAACGAGAACTTCAGCGACGCACCATCGATCATATCCTCCCTGTATCCTCGTTTGCCTGCTCCCAGCAATGTCGAAGTCAAACGATAACCACAATGGCAAGGATTGCGTTGAGCAAGAGAATCCGAGGCATGACAGCAATGATGATACCATGGTCTCATTGGAGATGATGATGGCGGCGCTACGTCTTGTCGCTGAACAGCGCGCCGGTGAGTTTCATCCTCTGTGATGACCTTGAGAAATGCTCACACATGCGATGCAGCTGAACGCAACATGCGCCGCCAACATGGTGAGTCGATGATCATGTTGCCTCTGGAGAGTCCTTTCCCGTGGATCTCAGCCTGCTATTCTTTCAGAGCATGAGTACGTCAGCGGCAATGTACCTTCAGCACTCCGTGACCGTGACCGATCCTCCAGTATCAACACTGTCTCTTCTAACACATCGACCTCTACCATACGTGATGCTTCTGTCCAGGTGGCAGGAGAGTCGAGCAGCAGCAATGCATGTGCCCATGAGGCCGAGTATGGTGACTTTCATTACGTCGATGCTGAGGAGCGGCCTGAGCGCAACCGTGATGAGGCCGGGCCCATCGCAGCTGTCGAGCAGCCGCCTTCGACGCGCTGGTACTGTATCGTGCGTGGCCGTGCTGTCGGGGTCTTTGCTGGATGGTGAGTCAATCTCGGCATAGTATGCAACTATTCTTACCTTACCATGTATGCATATGCAAGGCCAAACACCTCCCCTCTCGTCACCAACGTGCCGGGATCACTCTTTCAGAGGTATCCCACATTCAATGCCGCCCTCAATGCCTTCATAGAGGCTTCTGCGAATGGGCATGTCATCATCATCTTCATCTGAATTACTTGAGGATGTAATGCTGCCGTTGGGAATCGTCGCTAGTGTTCATCGCATTACATGTATATACGTTAGCTTCTTGTTCAGCAGCAATCTCATTTAGAGTAAAAGCATTCCTTACCTGTCAGGATTGAAGTGGAACCATCAGAACGAACCCTAGTTTGGCATTTTGCAACTCTCTTGGACTTGCCATGGGCCGTCGTGCAAAGTACCGAACGCTAGGTGAGAGACTCGCGGCAAAGCGTGAGCAACAAAAGAAATACACGCAGTCAGCAAGGTAGGTGCAGCAGGAAATATTGTGATGAACTTATAAACATACATATCCATTGATAGAGGTCGTGCAAGGCGTGCAATACAGAACAAAAAAACATATAGTGCTCGTACCGGATTATATCCCAGCCCTTTCCATCATACCATCCATGGACTACCATCCGAAATAATCACCCTAGCACGTCGCGCGTTCCAAGTTGGCAGTCCTCTTCAACATTCGTATGATCTGGGCATATGGACGCAGCCATTTGCTCTGCAAATTCCAGACGAGTTAAAGAAGATTCCCGAGGCTGACGAACTCTTCGACGACGATCAATATGACGAGGACGAGTTGGCGTCAGGACTTCATATAGCAAATCTTGAACGCTTAATAGAGGCAGGGTGGATGAGGTTGGAACGATGGTCAGACGAGAGCGAGAAGGAAGCCTTGTTGGTGGAGATGAATGACGAGATCGTACAAAGGCTCGAGGCATGGCAGCGTAGAGCAGGCGAAGAAGATCGACATGGCAGTTTACTGGCAGATGTCGCTCATAGCGTCGGCATAGAGTGGAGTGCAAAGATTCTATGTTGCTTGAAGGTAGAGCAACAGATTGGGATCGCCGGTTCAGAGGAGATAGAAAGAGCATGGAGAGCAGGCCAATTGCCGTGGCAATGTATGAATGCACGTCGATAGATAGACAGAATTATTGTCGGGCTGAAGATTGACATAGGCAAGGCAGCAGACGAGATTCAATGAGTGGTAGCTAAGCGCGTGAAAGCGATAAAGTCGAGCAATAGTCACTAACGCGTACTGGCGCTTTGCTGGATGTAAGCAGAATGTGTTGCCCTTCAATGCTCTTCTCAATTTCTTCACACCTTAGTGTAAGCCACATAAGGGCTACTGCTTCAGATAGACTATTTACATTTTTTGATTACTATACAGTCACTTTCCTTGCTACGACGACTTCATGAGGGACTGGCCGTTGATTTCAGTATGGTCTATATTACGATGCTGATTGGCTGGACAGGCAACGCGTCGATCACATGCTACCTTTCCTGGAGGCATGCGTCCTTAACCTTAATTTCAGTATCTTTAGAGTTCAATTCTGCTGTATGGCTGATCGCGCGACGCGTCATGCATGTGTTTTCTTCCCTAGATGCGCGCGTCATCTGGTTATATCTCTATTTTGATTGGCTGGATGCGCGACGCACATGCTTTCTTCCCTGGACGTGCACGTCCAATATTTTGTCTGCTTTATTGGAGGAAATTTTGATTGGCTGGATGTGCGACGCGTCGACCACGTGCTTTTCTGCCTTGTGCGCTCGTGCTGACGCGTTCCTGCTGATGCGTTCCTGCTGACGTGTTTCTTGACGCGTCAAAAATTCCCTGTGCAGGACTATCCCCTTCGGCATTCGAGCGAAGATAGACAAGATTGCTGATATGGAATAATGAGAGGCTCGTCGGGTGCGTCTGCTTTCTTTTCAGTATCATTGTCAATTTAGTTAAATATTCTATAATGCTCGTAGAGTTGCGCATGCCTTTCAAGTGTGTACAGGCTTCATTCTTCACATAAAATGTTCGTGCCGGTTTATACCATGGTCGGTATGTTTGGATTTTGATGATCACCCTCTGAACAGCTTTTCTCCCCATTAGAGGCCTCGTTGCGGAGATGTCTACATCAAAGCGACGGCACCGTCAACATGGCCGCGACTTTCAGTTCCATGATGATTCAGACAATGAAAATCGAGTATCGCGGCCTCGTCTTCCTCCTCATACTCTTAGCAGGCATACCGACCTCTACACTGGTGATCACGGGCTTTCAGCCCAGACTTCGTTCATTGCGACGATTTATTCCACAGCTACGGCGTCAAGTACATCTCTGACCAATGTCAACGATACAACCACATCATCTCTACCCGAATCGGAGGGCATCCCCAATCAAGAATCTACATGGGACAATTCTGATCTAGACCATATCAATGTGGACTACATTCACGAGCTTCCTGACATGGATGAGGGCTTAAAACGGCGGTGACGTACTGCAGGTGTGAGTGCTAAGTATTACTCTTATCTGAATGTGTGCTGAGAGTATTCTCATAGGATCATCCTCTCCATGAATGGATACCCCATCGCGACGAATGGCTTGCTGAGCTATTACGTCATGAAGGCCGCTGTGGATTCACGGATGAGAAATGTCCGCGCTGTCAAGTCACCCCAGCTGAGATTCGTTGCATCGACTGCGATGATCTCAGGCTCTACTGTCAAGAATGCATCGTCGCCATGCACACGCAGAACCCTTATCACCACTTGAAGGTAAGTACATCAGAACTATTTGATTGCAACATGTACTGATAGTCTGGCTTGCAGGTCTGGGTAAGAACACACTTCCAGCGCAAGACTCTCAAGGAGGCTGGCCTTCGCATTTAGGTTGGACACCCACCCGGCATATGCTGTCACAATCCCGAGCATGCCTGGGGCAATGATTTTGTCATCTTAGATATATCTGGCATCCACCGCGTCGGGCTTGACTTCTGTAACTGCGAGATGGCTCAACCTCATGACATTCAACTTCTGCGTGCTCAGCTGTTCCCTGCTACAAGCGACAACCCAAAGACGGCCGCAACCTTCCGGCTACTCGAGCACTTCCACCTCCTATCAACGCAGGCAAACATATCTGGCTTCCGATTCTATTCTATGCTAGAGCGACGCACTGATAATACTGGTCTCGATACACCCAAGGTGTCTACCTTCTCATCTTGTGCATAGAATCCTGAACTCACATTGCAATGCAGGATCGATACCCTGAGCTGATGCGCATGGTACGCCAGTGGCGCCACCTTAAGATGCTCAAGCGGTTTGGCCGTGGACATGACCCAAGCGGAGTAGCAGGCACTGTACCCGGCAGTTGTGCCGTGGAATGTCCGGCGTGTCCTCATCCTGGAAAAAATCTCCCTGAAGATTGGAAGGAAGCTCCACCAAAGCAGAGGTACATTCTTTCACGGTCATTCCATCATGCATGAATGACGGTAAATGAGAAAGGTGGCTGTATCAGCTATTCCTCGGCATGGACGCGAATTTTCGGCTCAAGAGAAAGCAGGTCTCGTCTGATGCTGCCGACCCAGGGCTCAACGAAGGAATCGCTTTCTTCGTTGAGGAAAACCAGTACAAGACACATATCAAGACGTACGGCAAGGTCATCAAGGAGGAGATCAGTACATGCAACAATCACGACGCAGTGAAGCTCGCCAATTTGAAGGGCTCTCAAGGTACGGCTGCGAGTGGAGTGGGAACGGTCGAATGTACTCGCCATGATATGAAGCGGCCGTGTTCCGTCGGGGACTTGCAGAAGGGAGAGCGGTGCGTTTCACATGCGATAGAGTCCATTGCATTGATCTAATATTTCTCAGGTACGTCAACATGGATTATCTTTTTCTCAGCAGCATGCGACAAAACACTCCGAACTTCATTGTCGTATCATACGATATTGCGTGTCAGTGGTCAATACATTTGTGGGAACGCATGGCGCTGTACAAACACCACTTCAATTTCGACAATCGCATGATCTCCTTCCTCATTCCTAAATTCCATCTACCCGCACATCAGGAATCATGTCACCTCAAGTACTCATTCAATATCTCACCACAAGTAGGACGCACAGATGGTGAGGCCGTCGAACGAGGCTGGGCCGCCGTCAATCTGTTTGCTTCCAGCACGAAAGAGATGGGCCCCGGTTCACGTCGAGATTTGCTGGACGATATTTTTGGAGCATACAACTGGGACAAAGTTACTCGCATGGGTGAGTCATAGTTACTTGCATGTTATCAGCACTATCTGAGCCATTTTTACAGCGGAGACCATGCTCATCAAGATGAAAAATGCTCTCGAAGAGCGCAACACCCACGTCGCTGCCTTCAAAGAGCTCTGTACCGCCCTTCCTGCCGATCGCATAGCAGAGTGGACTGAGGCTATCGAAGCATGGGAGAAAGATCCCTCAAAGCCCAATCCTTTTAAGATTACACGAAGCGGTAAGTACGAGGGGTACTTGTAATCATGTCTATGGATACTTCAATGCTAACAGCTCATGTATTGTTGGAAGTTGTCACACAGGCGACCGTACGCCTCCAACTAGTGGATGAAGATGCTGCGCGGCTTCGAGATGGTGAGAGCTTTGTGCTTCATGACAAGATCTCGCCGAGCCTGATGATCATGACTGGCTTGGAGCTCAAAGAACTTCAGTGAGTATCACTCAAGTTCTTTGTTGCATTCACCAATTGTCCATTTGCAGACGTCGACTGCATGAGGATACAAAACAACTGGGCTCACATTCCACGGACCTTCAGCGTGCAAAGGTGCTCGAGCGTCGGATTGCACTCCAGCATCGTTATGATGCATGGGTAGAAGTCCAGCATTTGTACATGCCGGCGGTCGCTGCCTTGCGCTTGCGGAACACTAACAGTGCGTCAAATGTCGTCCCCGATGCAAGACTATTCCTTCCGTCAGAGATCATCAGCACGGTTCAATGTGATCCTTTGCTTGCAGCTTGCGAGCACCGTCTGCGGCGGGCACAAGCACACGATGCGCTGGAAAGTCTACGTCGACATCTACGTCTGCGAAGCCACCTGTATCAAGTGAAGGATCGTTTTGTGCATGGTCAACGTCCCAATACGCGTGCACGTGGAGTCATCGATAACGTGCAAAACAAAGTCAATACGGACGCTAAGCATTACAGAAAAGCTCGCGATGCACTAGAGGCCCTCAGTAATGTTTTTGGAGATCAGATGTGGCAGCGTGAACTGCGTCAGCTTGATGATGAAGACGTTCGAGGCATGTCTGAAGGCCTCTTAATGAAGACCGAGGGCCGACGCACTTTGTCGTGGATTTGGCGAACGCCCGGCATTGGCTCGGTCGATAGCAGCAGTGAGAATGAGGGAGTTCAAGAGGGTGAGTGTAATTGCACACCCACCATGAGTGCTATGCTAATCACTACTCATAGCGCTACACGTTGAGTGGTGTAAAGCACGCGCGCATGCACACCGATGGTCTGAAGAATGCCAGTTGCTGGAAGAAGAGATGCGGCGCATTGTGCAGTATCACACTTATCGTGCTGGTTGGTGGCTGGACCAGATAGGGAGGAAGTCCGTCGTCTCAGATGAACTTCGAGAGGGTATGGCCGCATATGCTTTCCGTCAAGCAGAGCTACGTACCTCAATGGGCAAGCTCTGCCAGAAGACTTGGAGATATGTTTCTCGCTGGCTGAAGTTCGATCTATGTGCTGCCAAGGATATGGACACTTACGGCCCTTGATATGTTGCCACACACTGTTCTTGCACTTGTATATAATGAAATGCGCGATATATTATATTCCCAACTTGTGTATAGTAAAGTTACATTGAAAGGCGTGGCAGGCTGTTATACTACGTGGCCAGGATTGATGCATCGTCGCCACTGCGCGATGTGCAGAATGATGCATCAAGGTACTAAGACCTTGGTGAACCATCCTTACTGTTCGGTGCAGAGGTGGCGAATGGCGCGGAGGGGATGATAATGGACAACAATCTTTGCAGTTAGGATGATGCATCGAGCCTCAGCATCTCGATGCATCGTCCTAGCTATGCAACACAAAGGAGGCAAAAGGAATCTCAAGTAGGACGATGCATCGAGCCTTAGCAGCTCGATGCATCGTCCTAGCTGTTCAATACAGAGGAGGGTGCCGAAAAGCGCCACAGGTAGGATGATGCATCATCCTCGCTATGCGGCGCAGAGGCGGAGAGTGGCGCAGGGAGGGCGGGAAGGATCACAGCGAGGATGATGCATCGAGCGACGCTAAAGCTTGATGCATTATTCTCGCTGTACGGAGCAGAAGCAGCAAGTGGCACAGAGAGGCCGATGCATCGAGCCTCAGCGTCTCGATGCATCGTCCTCACTGTGCGGCGCAGAGATGGCAAGTGGCGCAGAGAGGGCAGGAAGGATCACAGCAAGGATGATGCATGGAGATGCTAAGGATGATACATCGAGATGCTAAGGCTCGATGCATCGTCCTCGCTGTGCAGAGCAGAGGCGACGAGTGGCACAGAGAGGACGATGCATCGAGCGACGCTGAGGCTCAATGCATCGTCCTCGCTGTGCGGAGCAGAGGCGACGAGTGGCGCAGAGAGGACGATGCATCGAGCGATGCTGAGGCTCGATGCATCGTCCTCACTGTGCAGTGCAGAGGCGACGAGTGGCGCAGAGAGAATGATGCATCGAGCGATGCTGAGGCTCGATGCATCATCCTCGCTGTGCAGTGCAGAGGCGGTGAGTGGCGCAGAGAGGGTGGGAAGAAGTCATTACTTACCACTGGCAAGTAGCAATGCATGCTCAATGCTTTAGTCCACGGCATAGCGAGTCCTGCGTGGCCAGCTGTCCCAGAGCGGGAGGGATGAGACGGCGAAGCAATTGCCAAAACATACGGAAATTGGCATGCCCAGATTATCAGACGCAAGATTTCGTACAGGATGGGCCTGGCATGAGAGCGCATAAAAATGGAAGAACAGAACGAAGGGCGTGAAAGCGCATAGAGATACCGATTATGGAAGAACGGGATGATGGAGGCAGCCGAGTTGTGAAGTAGTCGGAGGCGCTGACTAGCGGGGGCAGGAAAAGAAACCCTATATGGGAAGAGCGGGGATGATGACAGAAGGGCGGGGCTCCATGCGAGGATGATGGTGGAAGCACGGGGCTCCATGTGGGGATGATGGTGGAGCGCGAGGCTTCGTGATGATCGGGGCACGCCGAATCACGGAGGGAGGCCGGCGCATGGATTGTTCAATCACATGCAAGGGCCATGTGATGCATCATGACGTGAAGGAGGAGGCCGGCGTGAGCAGCTGCAATACAGAGTGCACGATGCATCATGAGATGCTATGATCAGAGCGAAACGATGCATGATCACCATGCTACAACTATAGGAAGTGATATAATACAGTGTTGGCTGTGAGGGCAGGGGATGATGAATCACCCTGCCAGGTACAGGTGTCCGTACTGCCCTCAGGCTCAACCCGGATCACCGCATCTCCAGGGATTTCAAGTGGTCCAGGGTCCTCATTGGCAATGTCAGTACACGGGCAGCCCCAGGTGGCGCTGTCCACCTGGAGTCGACTTTGTCGACCGAGTTCCTGAAGAACCCCGCGCTTGCACGCCTCCGTATCACCCAACCTCCGTGCTGGGCACGCCGACCTGAGCAAATCGACGGTGCTCACTCGTCCGTGGTCCTCGGATTCGAAGACCCAGATGGCTCCATCCTCACGGCCCTCCTCCGGACTCCCCTCTTCGCCTTTGGCACACCCGTCACCACATCGCGCTGGCGTGATAAGCCGCACCTCCGGCAGTGTACGAGGTGCTGGGGCCTCGGCCACCTCTCTGCAGGCTGTATGAAGCCACCCCGGTGCTGTGTGTGCGCCGGCCGCCATCTCGAATCGGTGCACCGCGCTCGGTGCGCCATGTGCGCGAAGGAGAATCGCGCCACCTCAGACCCTTGCGCTCACGCGTGCTGCATGAACTGCCGTGGTCTCCACCACGCCGACTCCGACCAGTGCCCCAAACACACCGCTTTCCGGAACGCTGGCCCCGCTCCGACCTCTTCTCTCGAGCGCCCCGTGCTGCCCGCTGCTGGCGACTCTGATGTTGCCATGTAGGGGCGAGTGCGACTCCATTTCCACCACGCTCCTTCCTTTTTCTTTTCTAGCGCCCCCCGTCCGCTCCCCTCCATCACCACAAGGCATGCCCGCACCGAATACGGGGTCAACATGCCAGCGTAGCAACACTTAAATGCAGGGGATCAGTTTTTATCCAGCCTGCTGCGTGGTAGGGTTCGCCGCGCGTCACCCACTCATTCTGTCGATTCCCTCAGTTCCTTCATTCCGCCCCGACATCTCTTTGGCTGCCAATGCCCTCCGCCCTTCGGTCCGCTGTCGTGCAATTCACTAACCCTGGTCCGGCCAGCTCTCCTCAATGTTCAACTGGTTACCATGCCCCGCACGCCACTTTGCCTCTGCGGTGAACGAGGTCTGTTTGGTGGGAGTATCTTAGGGGTTCGATTCCCCTTACACAGTGTTTCTAACGAGTCAACGGACTGACCGCGGCGCGGTTTTCGAGTTTGGTCAGGCATATGCATTTTGTTAGGTTATCGGCGCTTGCGTGGTCCATGACACAGCTTACCGGGCTTCGTGCCCTTCTACTATATGCCTGCTCTGCTGCGTCCGTGGGGACCTGGTGTCTGTACGTTAAGCTTCTTCGCCCCCAGATGCGTCTGGTCCTCCGTTGTTACACGA